TCAGGTGATCCAGTCGTTCCAGGAGACAGTGCCCCAGAACCCGTTAGTGATGATCAGGTTGGTCCAATTCCCGATTTGGGAGATCTGTTCGTTGAGGAGGAGAGTGGTCCTGCAGCAGTGCTTGGGCGGGAAGAACAAGAGGAGTGGGATCGTCTCAATCAGGAGTACAACGAGCTGATCAAGGAGGTGGGTGATACATTGAATTATCAAGTCCTACGTTTTGCGGTTCCAATGCAGTCCAGGCGGGCGTCGGAGGTGAATGCGAGGGTCCGCCAGCTGTATCTACAGATCCGAGCCGAAGGCTTACCAGTTGTGAGATGCCATTCGGACAGGGCCACTGAGCTCTGTAACAAAAGGCTACGTGACTGGTTACTTGAGCGTGGAGTTCTTCCTACGACCGGGGAGGCGCAAACCCCGCAGCAGAATGGGAGGGCTGAGGCCAGTGTCAAGTTTGTCAAGGCCATGGCTCGTACGCTCCTTACCACTTCCCGGCTGCCGGCCGAGTGTTGGCCACTTGCGATGGGCTATGCAGTGCACAAACAGCGATTGGATGCCCTAGGCAAGGGAGAGAACCTTCCACCGTTTGGATCTCCAGTACATGTGCGGACCAAGGTTTATGGACGCGCGGGCAGATACGATGTTGAAAACAAGTGGCGCCAGGGAATATATGTTGGACCGTCGTCTGATGTACAACATGGTCATTGTGTGAGGTTCCCGGACGGTGCGTTTGTTACGAGTCGGCACTTGAAGGAGCACTTGGTGGATGCAGATGCTCTTGTGGACTTGGTTCCCCGGGAGATTGAGTTGCCAGTGCCTGAGCGCAGAGTGAAGGGAAAATCCCGCTTGGCGGCTTTGTCAATAGGGCACCCGTTGTCACGGGAGGAGCAGGCGGCTGAGGTTGCGGCAAGGGACCTGTTGAACACAGGTGACTTTAGCATTGGTGCGATCCTTTCGTTGTTTGAGCTCCTGAAGAAGATCAAGATACGGAACGCCAGGGGCAGAGAGCGGCGGGAAGGAACGTCATGGACCACTGGAATGTTCGTTCATGGAGGTGTTGCTGGTCTCCGTGGAAATACCCGGCGCATGAAATGGACAACGAAATTCTTGGTCAAGGCGGCAAGGCAGTTTGCAGGAGGTCATCAGTTCTCGGCAATCGGTTTGATTGAGAACCAGAGAATGGGATGTCATCGTGATTCACACAACGATGCAGATTCAGAAAATGCTGTGATCCTGTTAAGGCCTCCGGAGAGTGGTGGGGAACTGTGGCTTGAAGATGAAGCGCTACATCATGAACAGGCTGAATGGAAGCAGGTGTCAAAGAAGATGTGGAAAAAGGGAACGGCACATGCTCTGGATGTCGGACAGCCTTTGGTCTTCAATCCCAGAAAATGGCATGAAGTTCAAGCTTGGGAAGGAGATCGAGTGGTTATGGTTCTCTACAATCCACGGTCAAGCAATCTTCACTACATCGACAGGGATACCTTGGATTTTGCAGGCTTTCAGCTCAGCGATTCTGTGTTGCCCCGGGTAGCAATGGCGCAGAATGACCTGGTGATCCCCAGTGTGGCGCAGAATGACCTGGTGATCCCCAGTGTGGCGCAGAATGACGTCGTGATCCCCAGTGTGGCGCAGAATGACATCGTGATCCCCAGTGTGGCGCAGAATGACATCGTGATCCCCAGTGTGGCGCAGAATGACGTCGTGATCCCCAGTGTGGCGCAGAATGACATCGTGAACCCCGGTGTGCCTGAGGCGGAAGATTCCCTCTGTGACTATGGTCAGCCAGAGCTCTACTTGATCCGGCCGCTAGAGACTGAGGACTGTGGGACGCTCGAGGATTCCTTGGTGGCTCTGACTGAGGAGCAAGATCAGCTGTTGGGTGATCTGAGCGAGAGGTCCAATAGACTACGGCTACTCCTTGAGGAGGAGCACGCCCTTCTCGAAGAATGCCGTCGTGCTGGAGCTCAGGTGACTGATGAAATTGAGAATGTTACGGCTGCAATTGAGGACATGATGCAGGATGTTGTGGAACGTCAAGGGTGTTGTGAGAAAGAGGTCACAGAGAGGTTCCTCAAGGCGGCTCAACCTCAGGAGGAGCCGGACTATGAGCAGATGCTGGAGCAGATGACGGGTGACCTGGAAGTGGTGCACACAGTTCCTTTGGATCAAGTTCGACGGGCTTTAGATAAGTGGTTGGAGGCTTTGAAGAAGGAGGTTGACCAGCTCTTCAACGGCACCTTGAAGGCGATCCCGCTTTGGAAGGCTCGAGAGATGGAACGTCGTGGTGAACTTCGCATTGTACCATCAAAGGGAGTGTTCACATTAAAACCTCCAGCGGTGCGTGGTCAGCGTGCTCGCCGCAAATTCCGACTTGTACTTTGCGGAAACTTTGTGGAGAACGACAACCCCAACTTCAACTTGTATGCGGGCGGTGTCTCGGCCGAGACGATGAGATTGGCCTTGACGTACTCTTCATCAAGGAGATGGCGAGGCGCTACGAGTGATGTCACGGCTGCCTTCCTGTTGGCAGACTGGCCGGCAGGTTTGGCATCATATGCCATTTACCCTCCTCGCGTTCTTATCGACGCCAATTTGGCGAAGCCCGAAGAGTTGTGGTTGGTTCTGAAGCCATTATATGGACTGAGGGAGTCACCGTCGATATGGTCCCAGCATCGTACCAATCGGCTCTTGAAGGCCCGCATTCCGTGGAAGGGCCGGACGATCACCTTGAAACCTTCGATGTCGGACCCTGACCTTTGGTTGGCCTATGATGAGGACAGCTGTTTGAAGGCACAAGGGGAGCTGCTGGCGTTGATTATCACGTATGTCGACGACCTCTTTTACCTCTCCGAAGACTCCCTGGTCAGAGCCATACATGATTGGGTTCAAGAAGAATGGCCTTGCTCACAGTTGGAATGGGCTCATGAAGCTTCGGGTACCAGATACTTGGGCATGGAGGTGTTTCAGAAGTCGAACTTTGTCTTCGAGATTTGCCAGGAAGGGTACATCAAGGAGCTTCTCCGGAACTATGACATGAGCGACTCTGTGGGTACGAAGCTTCCATGTCCGAAGGAATGGTTATGTGAAGGCGATGGCAGCGATGACGAGAACTACTCCACTTCGGAATTGAAGGCAGCACAGAAGATCGTTGGAGAGCATTTATGGCTGACCATGAGAACGAGGCCTGACCTACAGTTCCCAGTGATGTACATGGCTTCTCGAGTTAGCCGGCAGCCTAACAAGGTGGTTCAGATTGGACGTCGTTTGTTGAGCTACTTGAAGGCCACCCAGTCGATGAAGTTGCTTATGGGAGCAGAGCGTGATGAACGAGATGAAGATTGCAAAAGCAGCAACGACAACAAACAGCCGCATGAGCAGTGTACGACGCACACAGACATGGCACGCATACACACTTACTCTGACGCGAGTTTCTCACCGTATGGCGAGAAATCATTTGGAGCTTGTGCTGTAACATACCTTGGGTCTGCTGTTGCATGGAAAGCTTCCAAGCAGAGTTTCGTTACTTTGTCGGTTATGGAAGCTGAGTTGTACGAGACGACAAATGCTGTTGTGTTGTTGGAGAACATCGCAAGTATCTTAGACGAAATCCTGGGAACCAGAGCAGAGCGCTACCTCATGGTGGACAATTCAAGCGCTTTATCCATGATTCAAGGAGGGCCTGGATCGTGGCGCACAAGGCACTTGAAGGTTCGCAGTGCCAAGCTTCGATCAATGGTTGAGGATGGCGAGCTGATTGCACAGCACATAGTTGGAGAAAAGCAAGTGGCAGATTTGGCTACGAAGATGCATCCCAAGATGAGGCTCTGGGAACTCCTCTTGTTGTGGGGCTTCAGGAATCTTCCAACTGAAGCAGTGCAAGCCCTTTGTGCGAAGGGTGCTTATTTGGCCATGCTTGCTTTGGCGCTGGTGATTGTTCCATCAAGAGCTGAGGAGGACAACAAGACAAGGCTACAGTCTGTGGGAGTTGATGAACTGGTTGTGGTGACTTTGCTGGTCTGCATCACAGCTGTGGCTTGTTGGGAGGCAGTGAAATGGCTAAGCAGATCCGTTTTGGGCTGGTGTCGCGAGTCGCCGAAGCAACGAAAGCTGAGACGATTGAGGGAAACAGCGAGGGCAGCGGCTGAGGAGGAGATCGACAAGGCCTTTTTAGAGCGCGCTACAGAAGATGTGGGTGTGGAACCTACAATTCCTCCTCCGCCACCGGTCCTTGAACCTCAATTGGCCCGAAGGGGACGTTCAACGAAGAAGGTTATTGAATCATATGATCACCCGATGCCACCTCCACCAATGCCTGAGGAGATCTATGAAGCGTTCCCTGAAAACGGTTTCTACAAAACCAATTCCTCGAGATCCAAGCTGCACACGGACAAGGATTGTCATGGGCTGCGGAATTCTGGGGATGTATATCGAGTTGAGTATTGCGCATACTGCCAGAATCGTAATCCGTTGTATACGCGGAGAAGCAGGTCCCTGCAGCCCTCTCGGTCGTACTGAAGTGCTGTGTGTGGAATGCTATGATCTGGATGTGTGAGATACTTTGCTTAAAGGATGCTCGAAGGCCACATGCATGAGAACTGTGGAGCAGTTCTAGCACAACGATGTTTGCAGTGAGCCCTTTGTTTGATGGTCTGAGTGCGTGGCATTTCAGACCAAGGAGGAGTGTTGGATTGTGAACTGCGTCCGATGCCCTTCAGGCTTTCATGACATGCTTTGAACGTCGATCCTAAGAGTGAGAGATGTTCCATGTCGATCACACGTTGTAAAGCCAAGAGCTAAATGTTGATCCCGGCCCGAAGAGGCATATGTGGTACTCAGACAGCTTTTGTGTGTGAAAATCAATTCGTTCTGAGATTGCGCCATGGCTTCTTGATCATTTGTTGTCTGAAGCTTGATAAGCCGCCCCGACCTGACCCGCAGTCAAGGGAATCTTCAGGTTCCTATAACGGTTCCCTAATTCCTAGCCTCACGCAATCTCCGGCCTTGTTCTTGGATAAGCCGAACATGATCACCACCTGCGCCGTCTTTTCATTCACCACTATGGGGGTTTCCCAAAATTAGAGGCACCGTATTTTGGGGCCCTTTACATAAGGATCCTATTTAGGGAACTATATTAGGGCCCCCTGTTTTCGGAAATTGCCATATGCTTTACCTCGTCTCTATAGGTTCCTGTAGTTTTGTAAGGTATCCAAAAAGGTCCTTTATGGGCTTTCCATAAAGTTGCTAGTCAAAATGCTTGAAAGGCTGCTATGGGTTCCTGTATACACGGATTGTCCCAATTTCAACACTGGGTGCTTACTGATAAGGAGAACATAATCTGGCAGCACTGGGGGCCTCGTGTTTGGAGAAGTTTGGGTGGTTCAGTCTTTTTCTGTCAACCTGTCATAGAAAATGGCTCCGAGAGCAGGGGCTCGCCAGGTCTTGTCAGAAGCCGTCGAATACACGAGCCTTGCTTATTGGATGACTATACGTGTATACTTGTGCTATCTAGTCCGACCTCCGTGCTGTGGTTAGCTTAGGGATGCCATGCGTATCTCGTGGCTTCTTTTGGGAGCTGCTGCTGGCATCACCAACTTCTGATGTCACAACAGTCCATGACGGTCCGGTCGAAGGTGACGGGCTTGCTGCCTTGAAAGCTTAGAGCTGCAACAAGGGGCCTTAAGAGTTGTTAACAAGGTTTTGGGGCCCATGATACTATAACTATAACAAACGTATGAAGATCACCTAATGTAGGGCCTGAGTAATTAGAAAAGGGTTTTGGGGCGCATTATACTATAGTTATTCTTGTTAAGAAACCCCCCAAGCATGGTATTGGTAAATAATTTAGGCCCCTACAGTATGTGCAGAGCCTGTACAGCCCATCCAATCTGTCAACACTCCGCAAACAAGGCTCATGTCTCAAGCCAGTCCATACGGTTGATGATATGAATCCTTCATTACCCTGAGGACCCCAAACTATGGGAATAATGGCATATTTCTTACTATGGGTAATGCAGCATTTAAATCATCAACAGTAATTTGAACTGCCATAACCTGTTTTTCGTAGGGTCCTGTCATATACCCTGATTTGGAGACTGTTATTTATGGGACCCCAAAAGAAGTAAGTTTTGGTACGTAGCTCAAAGTAGACCTAGAGCCAGACTTAAGCCCGATGTAAGACCTCTACAGACTAGAATCTCTGAGCCGTGGTCTAGCCTCACCAAGCCCTGAAAACGCGAAATATAGGGGCCTTCATGTTTTAATCAGAAGAGGATTAGTTTTGAGGCTTTTATAGTATATTCATCATCAGGAGCCCCCGAAATAGCATTTGGGTACTTGTTTTGGCGTCTCTATGACAAAGAGATGCCTTCTGCATGGCGCGATGGTGGATCGACTTGTTGTTGTGGCTGCTGTTTCTGAAAACCTGTCGGCGCGGCTTCTGCAGCAACTATACCCCTTATTAGAATGAAGAGCCAGTGTAAAACACAAGGCACTGCTGATCATAAAGAGCCTCTTCGTGAGTAGTTTAGGGCTCGAGTGTTTCGCGGCTTGGTACACTGATTGGAACCGGCTTTTGGGGATTAGGGTTTAGGGGGCCATCTTATACTTCAGTTATAACAGTGACCATAGCAAAAGTGTTTGTTATGATTAAAACAGGGTTTTGGGCTGGCTATCTTATACTTTGATTATATGATAGTACATGTAGCGCGGAACATATTATGGGAATTAGTCCGACCTCCAAATGTTGCCCTTTCTTTGTCTCTCGTGCCGCGATCTACATATGCTTTGAGGTTTAGGCCGCCGCATTTATGGCATTCTTTTAGGGTTCTTGGGAGAGTTTTTTCCGAAACTAGGGGACCCTGATATAGTACCCGAAATAGTAGGATCCTTCTTATAAGGACCCCAAAATACGGTGCCCCTAATTTGCGGAAACTCCCGAATGGGCTTCTCTGAGTTCTCTGGTTTGGTGGTCGAGGATCCTGTGTTTGATCTTTGGCGCCGAGGAGTCGCGTTCAACAGGTTTAGGGTGTAGGGTGTGGGGTTTAGGATTTAGGGGTTTAGGGGTTTAGGGGGGGTTAGGGGTCAGAACCGGAACGCAGCAGAAGATCATTGAACCCAGCAAAAAATCCTCGTAATCTCTCAGAGCCTATTAAATCCCAAACAAAAATCTTGAATCCCACTTTAAGGACGAACGACCCTTAACAACAGGTGCTTATGGCCTTATACTATGAACCCTTTATAGGGGAACTGAACCTTAAGACCCTTGTCAGGATACATGTCGTCCTTAATATCCGAAAACCCTGGACCCGAACCCTTCGATAAGCCCCTGAACCCAACACCGGCGGCCTTCTCCACTTCCTGCACGTTGCTGGTGAGAAGGTTCAGGGCCTAGGCAAAAGCGAAGACATGGGTTTGCTTTAGGGCTTGGGGTTGAGGAACGAGGGTGTCACGGCTTTAGGGAGGCGTAGATGTCTATAAGGGTTGTACGAGGTTAAACTGCTGATTCTGGCAGGGCTGAGGGCTTAGGGTATGGGGTTGGATTCAGGGCTTCGGATCTCTAGGGTAGGGTCCCCGGTAGGGTATAGGGTTCAAAATTTGCTCGACAGGTGTGTCTCTAGGCAATCAGGCAAAACGACCATGAGGACACCGATGCGGTGCAGCACAGACGGCTGCCATGCAAGTCTCGTTTCCCAAAACTTGCTGCACCTCAGCAGGACCCGACCCCCAGAAGGGCCACTCATGATGAAGATGAGGAAGGACACAGCCTCCGCACAGTGGATCTGCACAGCGACTTCGTTGTTCTGCTCCGCACATAGAGCGTATAGATCCGGCACTTACTCGCCCAATAAGCCACAGAAATAAAAGTTTAAACTTTCAGACTACTATTGCAGAACTAAGAGCAAGTTCGAAGGCAACAACTTAGGCAGGAGAAAGATGCATTCTTCTGATTTCGCGGGCCCTGATTTCCAATATCGGATCCTGATTGCAAGCCTTGTTAAGGCAATTAATTGGGGCTTCGTGCTTACTTGGAGGATCACTGGACTTAGCAAGTAAGGTTATAAGTACCTTAATGGGGGGTACAAGTAACTATAAGCATAGTTATCTTAATTATAACCCTATATTTACTAAGTTCCGTGAACCTCTAAGTAGTTCAAGGCTTAGGGTTTAAGGTGAGTGCCAGCCTCATTCAGGTCGTGGAATTTGTTGCTCTTCAGGGGTCTGCATTGCACTGTAAATCAACCCTAGCACCTCACGCGAGCTCCCACAACACCTCACCCTGAACCCTAGACCTCAGTGCTACACCCAAAGCCCTAGACCCCACAACCCGAACCCTAAACCATTCAGGACTGTTACCCAAGCTGAAGCCCTAAGCACCCTAACTCTTCAACCTTGAAGCCCTCAACTCTCCCAAAGCCTACACATGAAACTAGAAGCAGAGACCAGACGAGACAAGAACATCCTATGCTGCATAGCATACTCTGCTCTACGCTGCTCTACTGTACTCTACCACTGAACTACACTATGTCATAGACTAAGCTACTATATGCAGTACTTTACTATACTATACGGCATATACTACTATATGCTAAAAGTTCTATAGTGCATACTACTCACTATAAACGATTCTGTAGGCTGTACACTGCAAACTATATGCTACAAACTGTATACTGGTACGACATACGAAATACTATCGCATATAGGCTGTAGCCTATGCTGGCTTTACATACGGTGTATTCGGCATGTTCTAATATGATATACTCTACTCTGCTCCTGCTCTGCTCTACTGTACTCTACTCTACTCTACAGTGCCTCAGCGGCTACTCTCTAGACTAGACTAGCCTAGCTAGACTATGCTATGCTATACTAGACTATACTATACTAGACTACACTATACCAGACTATACTATACTAGGCTATACTAAGCCAAGCTATCCAGTGCTAGATCAACACACAGGTTCATCCCGCTCGGCTTCCCTGCAAGGCCCAGGTGAGCCATGGTTTCGACCTGACTTGGCGTGGATTCTGCGGAGTCTCGTGTTATTGAGGGTCTATAAGGGGTCTATGCTGGGGTTCTTTAATGTAGGGGCGTAAATAATCAGAATAAGGTTTGGGGGTATACTGTACTATGATTATAATGGGCTGCTCCTTACGATCAGGGTCCCATTGTTTGAGTCCTCTTAAAGGTGGTTGAAATTGCTATGCACAGGGCTCGGGCCACGTGTCCTACTTGCCGGGTGCTTGGGTCTGTTAGGATCGAAGGTGCGCATGTCCTGTTTCGGGGAGCTCTAATACCGAAAAGTTTGGGATGATATAGGAATCATCGTATCCCAAAAGGTTGAAAAGCAAACATGATACTCTATTACGGAGGTGTTCCCCAAACCCAGGATGTTCAGCAGACGAGAAAGTTAAGATGATGCCGAAACACATGCTGAATGCCCAAAATGCAGATCCGAAAAAAACCCTAGAGTGCCGTATGAATTCCTTCTATAGACTTGTTAGGGTTCACTGTTTAAGGATTCACCCTGAAAGCCCTTTTACACCGGTGCACTGTTTAAAGACATTACAATGAACCCTGAAAGCCCGTTTACACCCCCCCATCTAGCCCTAAGCCGTAGAAGCAGCAAAGCCGAGGCTGCCACATGGACCTTGTGGTCGGTGTCATGGGGCTGCCTGGCCTTGCACCAACTAAACCCTAAAGCCTCAATTCCTCAATCCCTCAACCCTAAACCCGAGAACCCGTAGACCCTCAGCCCTATACCTTAGACCCCTAAACCCTAAACGCCCTAAACACCTCAACGCCAAACCCCAAACTCCTAAACGCCTTAATTAAACACCTCAACCCCAAACCCTAAACTCCGAAACCCTAATGCCGTCATGATGCACCCCCAAACCCAAAGCCGTTCAAGACCCAAAAAGCCCGAACCTTAACCCTAAACCCTATATATAACCCTATAACCCTAAACCCTATAGCCTTATAACCCTAAACCCCATAACCCTAATTAAACCTTTTAAGCCGTATAAGCCCTAACCCCGAAACCTAGGAATAATAGGGTGCCCTTCTTGGCTTAAAGGGACTATATTACCCCAAAAAAGGTTAAAGGTTACCTACTCTACTACTAGGCCTCAGGATAGGAGACCTTAGAGCTGTCAGATCTCACGGCCTTTTTGGGTGCTGTCATGTGGGAGTTTCCGAAAATCTAGGGGCTCCTTTAAAGGGATCCTGTAAGGGCTCCGTGAGGGGATCCTATAAAAGACCTATGGGGCTTAGGCTTTGGGAGTTTCCGAAAATTAGGGGGTACGGCTCCTGTAAGGGTTCCTTAGTTCCTTATAAAAGGGTTCACAGGGATTCTGTGATGTACAGGGCCATAGCATGTAGAGTAGTGGTTTGATGTACAGTATAGTTGTATATAGTTGTATGAGCCATAGACCTGAAGCCCCAAACCTGAACCCGAAGCCGGAAACCCCAACCCTAAGGAAGCCAAAGGCCCAATGTTAGTAACTATTCCGGCCTCCCCTAGGGATCTAAGGACTCATATATTCAGACTTTTGGGCCCAAAGACCATACTATATAAGGCTTTTGGGCTATGCTGATCCCCAGGGTTCTGTACATGACGGCTTAGTGCTCTTAGCTCCAGGGGCCTATCTAGTACTTCGGGGTTCAGGGCTGAGGGCTTCTGGATGTAGGGCACAAAGCCGCTTATTTAGGAGGGCTTTCAAGGATTAGAGGGTTTCTTGCGTTTTGGGGCTCGCAGTTCATGCCAAGGAATCCCTTAAGAGTACATAGGGTTCTTGAAGGGCTCTTGTGGGAGGCCTGTTAGAGGTTTTGGATTTCAAGGTTCAGGGTGGGAGGGCTGCAAGGCTTCTTACGGAGTTCCTATCAGGGTTCTACAAACGTTCCTTTAAGGATTGTATATGTCTGGCTTTGTATGTTTAGGGTGTAGAGGTGTCGAGGTAAATTGAACTAACTTTTCGTTCAAGGCTATTCTCAGGTTGCCCTAAACCCTAAACCCCAAACAATAAACCCCAAACCCTACACCCTAAACCCCAAACCCTAAACCCCAAACCGGTATAGTTTCAAGCTTCTGCAGAAAGGCCAGGGTACGAAGCTGCTCCTCGGCCTCCTAACGCCGTGTTGGTTAATATAGTACATACAAGGGCAGTTTTAACTTAGGGATCCTTTAAGGGCTTCTACTATATAGGGCGTCTATAAGGGTTTAGGGTTTAGGGTAAACCACTAAAAGGGTGGAAACCGGACTGATGACAAATCCTGCACATCACTCACAGGGTTCCGAGGGCCAGTGTAACCATGAAGGTGAGACTGCAACATAACTGCCGAGACCAATCCGCGGCAATGCCTTCTCACCATTAACGGCTTTGACGTTGACGGTATCGCCACCTTCCGTCGATGGCGCTGGCGCCGGCTCATGGAATGAAGTTGAAGGTCGTAGCAAGCCGAAACCATGTAACCGAAAACAGAAACTCATTTCCAAAGATGTCATGGTGCACTCTCTGATTCAAGCTTTCTCTCGAGGCTTCGACAAAGTCAAACACACGGTTCTCCAGCCATTGCAACCATGGCGAGCAATCAGTCAATCTGTTAATTAATCCGGGTGCTCCATCCCCATCTACCTCGGCAAACGCCCAGCGGCAGCTTTCCCATGATTGACTTTCCACACACGCATCGGCTGGAAAGAGCTGAGGCCTTTTGTCCGGCTTGAAGACCCAATGGGACTGTGTGTTCGCTTTTGACTTCTGACGCGCGAAATGCTGATGAACAGCAACAACGCTGTGAATTCGTCTTCAGACAATCCGACTCTTAACTACGCGTGATACTGCCAATTCAATCACCCGGCAATCGGCGAGCAGGATCACACAGAGAGCAAGTGCTAAGAACCAAGATGTAAATTGCCACAGTCGCGCTTCAGGTCCGAGTTTCGTATCGCCCCAGAAAACATGATCTACCATCGTTGGCCCTGCTCAAGAGATGCTACAACCCGAGCACCCACGTGTCAGAATAAACGAAAACCCACGCTTACAATTGTGAACTCAATGATTCTTACGCTAACCCTGGACTAGGACGCCCAGTAACCTAACAATAAAAAGGGCTCCCTTTTCGGTATTGAATAGCTTTCTAAGGAACCTATGACTACAAAAAGGGAACAAGGGTACTACTGGGCACCCTAGCCCTTGTAGGAACCCTATTTTAAAGGCTTAAAACTGAAACACATCCCCTTATAGAAGCCTAAACCCGAACTCTGAACCCAATGATTCTTACGCTAACCCAGAAGCCCTAAACCGAAGCCTTGAACCCTAAGACTTACATCCGAAGACCCTCAGTCCTGCAACCCTAGACAGCCCTGACGGGCCACTTTAGTAAGAGTCCTTTACGGATCATTGAAAACCGAAGTCTAAGTTTAGGGCCAAGTTTAGGGTTTAGGGTGTACCTAAAGGACCACATGACCCTTAAAAGTATAGGGCTGTTTTTGCCCATATACTATGAATCCCTGTATGGTATATGAAGCTTAAGCCCTTTCAGGGTTCACATGTGATTAATCCTTAAGGTATGGATCATTGAAAACTTTATAGGACGCCTTGATGACGCCCTTAACTCTTAACAGGCAAACCCTTTGCTAGGCCAAGACCCAGGCTGCTTCAGCGTCCAGTATCCTTGGGGAAGGCTTTTGTGGGGCTTGGGTGACCGGTTTCAGGTGTATGCCATGCGACCACAGTAGGAGCTATCCATCCGTCTGAATAATCTGTTAGACTATCTATTTTATTTGCTATTATCTGCACTACTATTTATATTATCTGTATTATCTATATTATCTGTATTATCTTTAATATCGATATTCTCTACATTATCTTTACTATTTATATCATCTATCATTATCTAAATATATGTATGTATATATATATATATATATGTATATATATATATATATCAGAGGCCTGAAGTCTTCCACGACAAAGCCTCAGGGATCAATACTAAAACCTATAGTCTACAATACCGCGAAGCCCGTCCAGTTGCTCAGGTTTAGGGCCTAAGGTTTAGCGGTTAAGGCCCTTATACTATGTAGGTAACTTGGAGTAGGAGGCAGCCTTCTCGACTCTAGACATGCTGTTGATGATATAAATCCTGCATTAGCTAAAATGGGTGATATACCATAATTCCCACAGTTGAGGGTCCTTAAGGTAATGCAGGATTTATATCATCAACCGCGTCATTCCAAAGCTCATGTTGGGATCCTCTTACTGCCGAGCTTCCAATAATAAGTGCCCATGTACTTATGGAGAATAGATCCCCCTAAACCATAAACCCTAATCCATGGCTCCGGTACTTTATAGTATCTCTAGGGCTAAGGCGCCAACGATGCGTGCGCATGTACTGTCAGGTTTAGGGCTCCAACCCTCAACCCTGAAACCCTAAAGCCCTAAGCAGCCCTAAACCCTGAAACCCCTAAGCACTTAACCCAAAATCCTAAACCCTTTACCGCAAACCCTTAAGCCCTCAAGCGCTAAGCTCGTAAAGCCTAAGAAGTTTAAAGCTCCACTGCGGCCGAAGCCCAAGAATCGGAGTCACCAGTTTCAGGCAGAAACCATCGAATCTAAGCCGTAAAACCTAAGACTCGCCTAGGAAAGCCCGTCCCCAGACGACGCCAGCAACCACGGTTTGGGAGTTTGCGAGAATAGGGGACCCTAACATGGCGCCAGAATAAGTAGGATTTTTGCAATAAAGGGACCCCAAAGTAAGGTATCCCTAATTTCGGAAACTACTGTTTGAGTGTCTCCGATTTGGGCGGTGGTTAGAATCTAGGAACGCCATGGAAGAGGGAGTATTAAGACTTCCATATATCCTGCTTGTGAGAGTAGTGATCGCACGCCGACCAGCCCCGGCACCGAGTCCCAAAGCATGGATTTGGTCATGTTAGGTTGGATCAGAAAAGATCAAACTGGATGAGACGAGATGATGTGCGATGACGTGACTGTGACGAGATGAGGCTCGGTTAGACTACTCGACTGTATCGAGAAGGGTGAGATGAGATGATGTGAGATAAACTGAGATTAAATAGATTCGGTTGGATTAAGATGTTTGGTTAGACTGGATATTAAACACTCGGTCGGATCAGAGGTCAGATTAGATTGGGTGAGGCTAGATGAGGTTTGCTTCGAGTGTACACTTGTATGTATATACATGTAGATATAGGTGTATAACTCATCGTGCACTATAGTGCTGGAGTTGCCAGAGTGGTAGAGTTAAAAATTGGAAGAGTTTTGCCGCACCCAGCTCTCCAAGTGGCAGCCGAGGGACGAGGACAGTTTCGCCACGATGTGCGCGATGCCTCCCAAATCGAAGGAGGCTTTCCAACAGGTTTGGTATAGTATAGGGTTCAACAGTTTCGGGTTTAGGATGGTTTGGGGGTGGGAGGTTCTAGGGTTTAGGGTTTAGGGGGCTATTGGAGCCCAGGAACAGACTAATACAGTCCGAAGCATACCACACTACCTTGGCAAGCCTCGAACACGGGGCATTCCTTTGGGACGGGATGCGGATACTACAGGGGCCTAAATACTTGCCAGTACTACTTTCGGGGTACCTTATTTTGATTATTGTATAGTGGGCCCCGAAACATTATGCAAAGGAATTCGTAAGGGCCGTATATTGCCGATGCATATGCAAAGCACGCGGCGACCCACATGGCCCTACGAGAACTATTCACCGCCTAACTCTTGAGACCTATTTGTCAGCCGCAGGTTTTGCCTTCATATTATGAAAACAACACCGTCAGCTACTTTGTTATTACTAAAACAACCATTACTTCGACTTTAACAGAAACATCCAGTACTTACTTTGAAAAGTATAGGATCCCAGCCAAGTCGGTGGGGCGCTATGATGAAAGGCATTGAAGGCTTCGCTTTGTTGAAGGCTTGGGTTTGGAGGCCCTTGAATTCTCAGAACAGGCTCTGACTACCTTCTTCGTCAATGCTTAGGGTTTTATGGGTGCAGGGTCTCAAGTCTAAGTTTAGGGTTTGGGCTACTCCAGTGTTGGGCTGTCCCAAAACATCGACGTGAACCAGATTGGTCGTAGGGAAGTTGCCATCACCAAGCTCGGGACCGGGGTCTTTGCTCCACCAGACCTGATGAAGGTTGTGCATAGCGGCCTAGAGACCGCAGCGGCCCCTGATTCTGGCAAGCATCTATGGCAGAAGCAGTATATACTTATATGCTACAACAGGGCGGCTGCAGCAGCTGCAAAATATGGATTTGAATCCTCCACCACATGTGCGGAACTGGCCTGGCGGAGCTCTTGGTCTTCGGTGCCCGGAAAATGTTCAGGCGTCTGTCCGGGCCCAAACCCCATGCATTTCGCGCGGAAATGCGGATACTGGGACTGCCAGGTTCTGCGCCTCGCTGCGATATGAGCCGTCAATCCGCGGGAGCTCCCGACGTCGCTCTTCCCGAGCCCAACCCGGACGCACGGCGAATTCATGGTTCCGCGCATGGACAGTGTCCAGTGACGGCTCCATCGACACGCTCGGCTCGAAGACCGGGGACTTCTGCAGCAGCGTGCGCTGTGTCGTCATTGGCCGCAACACCTGCGGCCCCGGCCGCACCGCCTTGTCCGCAAGGGCCTCTCGCGTACCGACCATCACAACCAGGCGTGTGCGTCGTGCTGGGACCAAAGTCGGGTGAAGTCCTCGACAAGATGTCTCAGCCCAGTGCTGCTTTTTGCCTTCCGACTGCCTAAGCCCGGAATCCCAAACCTTCGACCTCGAAACTCAGTACCAAAGCCCATCAAGATCCCTGAGCCCCAAGACCCTCAACCCTATAGACCCTAAACTCTAAACCCTAGCCCCCAAACCCTAAAACCCCAAACCCAGATGGGAGTTGGTAAGGGTTAAATAGTGGGATCCTTATTATGCGGGCCCCTGGGCAAGGTACCCCGAATTGTCGGAAACTCCCATAAAACCCAACCCCCAAACCCCAAACTCCTAGATCCTTGAGCCCCTGTAGCTCCAAGCCTGTGCCGGAAGTAATCTCCTGGCGGATTCTTCTTTCCGACGATCCCTAAGGGTCCATATGCCGATAAGTCGGGTTCCTTTCAGGGGTCCGTTTTGGATTCTACAAAATACACCATAAAGGTTTAAAGATACATAGGGTAGTATAAGGGCCCACGTGCACAAATAGCTTGTACTTTGGACCCAAATACCAATATTCGGACTAGTTTAAGGCCACAGTATGAACTATTTGGCTACATGGTCCTCAGGGGATCTGATTTTGGGACCTTACTAGAGCCTTGGTAATTATTGTCAAGTTCGGGTATGTCCTACTAGAGCTTTATATATAAGGACCTTGAAGCAATTAAAGCGCGATCTGGGGGGGGGGTATATTGTACACTGCAGTAGCTATGTAAGCACACCAGGACACAAAAAACAGCTCGGCGTTGTTGAGACCTAGCATTCATCATGAAGAGCTTGCAGAATCCGAGACTTTGGCGGTTTTGCGGATTGAAGATGAATTTCGGGTTCTTAATGCAAATGCTAGTTCCAGATGATACAAATCCCGCATTACCTAAGGACCCTAAACTATGGGATATTATGGGTAATCAAGGACCTATACATATCATCAAGCGTAGTTCCAGATGATTAGAATTACCTGTTGCGAGTGGCGCCTCGATAGGGGTTCGAGGCCTAGGGTTTAGGGTTTAGGTTTGTAGGGTTTAGGGTCTAGGGTTGAAGGCTCCTGAAATCAGGATGGTAAATCTGACATTGTAGGGGCGATCACTGAGGTGGTTGCATTGCATTGGAATCTAATTTCTAGGGGACTTTATTCTATTCGGGGCTCCCAATGTTCCGGAAATCACTATAACAACAAGTAAAACATTCTAAATCAAACCTCTAGACACCTGCTGACACCACTATAAACCATGATCAGTGTTATCACCGGTATTGTTACGACTACGGTTCTTTTGATGTATGTTCTCATGGATATTTACTCCTACTCCTACTCATAGTCCTAGTCCTAGTCCTAGTCCTAGTCCTAGTCCTAGTCCTAGCCCTAGTCCTACTACTACTACTACTACTACTACTACTACTACTACTACTACTGCTACTGCTACTGCTACTGCTACTGCTACTGCTACTGCTACAATGCTACTACTGCTACCACTACTATCATGGGCTTACTGTTGCTCTCGTTCATGCTATTTCGATCGCTATGTGTTAACTTAATGTTGCGTTTGTTATAGAAGAATTCTTGGATTCCTGGATTCTTATCATCATATGTGCTGCTACATTGTGGCTATTCTTAGTATTTCCTGCTCCTGTGTCTAACTTAGCGCTGGTTTTATAAAGGAGTTGCTATTTTTTGTTGATCTATTCTCTTGGTTATTACTACTAACATTTTCTTACGGTTGTTATCATTTGTAGTGTTTCCATTTCTTGTTTGACTTAATATTGTTTATGTGAGGGATTTCCATGTCTTTTGGGACTTCCACTAGCATTCGTAATATTTCTGTTTGCACAGCGAACTTGATACTTCATGCTGTTGGTACCCAACTATAAAGACACTCGGAACCCGTGCAAAAAGCATAAACTGCAAAACCACTTCCAAGTAGCCGTAAGATAACTCCAAAATCCTAAACCCTAAACCCTCTAGATCCTTTATAGAGCCCTTTAAAGGGCCCCTAAGCCCTGCAACTCTAAACCTTATAGATTCTTCATAGCCTTGATAGAAACCCTTCAAAGGCCCCTTAACCCTGAAACTCCTCACTTTTCGGGTCCTTTTGCTTGAGGTTCTCCGTGTGCGAGGACCAGCGCTCCATGAGCTGCACCACAGCTCGGTTCTCGAGCTCCTTTTGCTTTGGGCCCTTTTGTTAAGGGTTTTGGTTTTTAAGGGTTTTAAGGGTTAAGGGTTCTCGAGCTCCTTTTTTTTGTGTTTTTGTTTCGGGCTTTAGGGTTTAGGGCTTCAAGGGTTATGTCGAGCTCCTCTGATTTTGGGATTGTTTTTAAAGGGTTTAGGGCTTAGGGCTTTAAGGGCTTAGGGTTTAGGATTTAAGGCTTTGAGGGTTTAGGGTTGCGGGGTTTAGGGGTTTATGGTTTAGGCCTGGGGCTCCCTTAAACGGTTCCTTAACGGGTTCTACTATGATAAATCTACAGGGTTTAGGGGTTCCCAGGCTTTAGAAGTCTAGAGTTTAAGGGTATAAGGCTTAATTAGCGGCTTAGGGTTTATAGGCTCCAGGGCTTAAGGTTTAGGAGTTTAAGGTCTTGAAGGCTTCGGACTTAAGGTTCAGGGGTTTAGGGTTCGGGGTTCAGGGTTTGTGGCCTCCAAGGCTCTTACTAAGATTGTGCGTTTGGCTTAAGTTAAGATATAGATGTTACTAGGGGGTTAGGTAAGTTAGATAAAAAGTTAGCATAAGTTAAAGAAAGTTAACATAAGTTAGCAAAAGTGAACTTGTGGGTTAAAGCAAACAACGATGGGGTGGCGGGGTCGTGGGTGGTGGTAGTGGGTGGTGAGGCGGTGGCCATCGCCAGCCACCACCAACCACCCGCCAACCACCACCCACCACCCACACCAAAATGCGGTTAACAAATCCATTCCCAGAAAAACTTTGCACGCAGCTGATTGGGGGATCGTTAGAAATTTTAGGCGCTGCACCAGCCACCACCCACGCCACCCACGCCACCCACGCCACCCACGCCACCCACGCCACCCACGCCACCCACGCCACCCGCCACCCACCACCCACCCACCACCCACCACCCACCGCCCACCACCCACCACCCACCACCCACCACCCACCACCCACCACCCACCACGCACCACCCACCACCCCCCACCCACCACACACCACCCACCACCCACCACCCACAACCCACCATTCACCATCCACCACCCACCACCCACCCCACCAACCACCACCCACCGCCCCACGCATGGGTAGTGGGGTGGTGGGGCGGCAGGTGCGGTAAAGTGTGGGGTGGGTGGGGTGGTGGGGTGTGTGGTGGTGTGGGAGTCGTGGGGTGGTGGGGGGTGGTGGGGGGTGGTGGGGTGGTGGTGGGGTGGTGGTGGTGTGGGGTGGTGGGGTGGTGGGGTGGTGTGGGTGGTGGGGTGGTAGGGTGGTAGGTGGTGGGGTGGTGTGGTGGTGGTGGGGCGAACCAGGGGTGGAGTGCCAGCCATGAACTTTTTATGAACTTTTCAGGCCTGGAAATATGAACTTTTTATGAACTTTTCAGCCCTGGAAATATGAACTTTTTATGAACTTTTCAAGCCTCGAAATATGAACTTTTTATGAACTTTTCAGGCCTCGAAATATGAACTTTTTATGAATTTTTCAGGCCTCGATATATGAACTTTTCAGGCTTGGATTCCTTGTAAATACCAATAAAACACTAAAAATATGAACTTTTTCCGGCCTGAAAATATGAACTTTTTATGAACTTTTCGGGCCTCGAAGTATGAACTTTTTTATGAACTTTTCAGGCCACGAAATATGAACTTTTTCTCAACTTTTCAGGCCTGGAAATATGAACTTTTTCTGAACTTATCCGGCCTGGTTCCTGGCTTTATGAACTCGGGGGTGGTGCTGACGGTGGTGGCGCGGGCGGTGGGGGTTGCTGATGGTGGTGTCGGTGGTGCTGGTGCTGCTGGTGCTGGTGGTGCTGCTGTGGTGGTGGTGCTGGTGGTGGGGGCGGCGGCGGGGGTGGTGCTGGTGCTGGTGCTGGTGCTAGGTGCTGGTGCTGGTGCTGGTGCTAGTGCTGGTGGGTGCTGGTGCTGGTGCTGGCACTTCCGCTAGCGCTGGGGCTGGTGCTGGTGCTGGCGGTGGTGCTGGCGGAGGTTTCCCAAACCCTACACCCCAAACCCAAGCCCCTAAACCCCTGAACTCTAAACATGCGCTAGTGGTGTTCCTAACATCCTAGACATGTGTTGTTGCTGTTGGTGGTGGTGCTGGTGCTGGTGGTGCTGGTGCTGTTGTTGTCGTGGTGGTTGCTGTTGTTGCTGCTGTTGTTGTTGTGGTGGTGGCGGTGGCGGTGGTCTTGGTGTTGGTGAAGGCTGTGGTAATAGTGTTTCTACACTCCACACCGTACTCTATACCCCCTAAACCCTATAACCCTGGTGGTGGTGCTGATGCTGGTGCTGGTGCTGGTGGTGGTGGTGGTGGTGGTCCTAAACACCTGAACCCCCTAAGCCCATAGCATCTGCTCTTATCTTTGTGGAGCACAGAAAAGAACAGCATCAGTGACAAACAACGAAAACCATTTAACACAAAACCGACATAAAACAAAACAAAGTTAGAATAAGTTAACATAAGTTAACATAAGTTAGAAAAAGTTAGCTAAAAAGTTAACTTAAGTTAATAACTTCTATTTCTTCCAACCAACCTTCTACTAACTTCCCCCAAGTTAGTAGGGACTTACTACATGGATGGCAAAGATGTAAGGGGGTTACAGGGAGGTTATAAGGGGGTTACTAACATCTATATCTTAACTAAGGCCACACGCACAATCTTAGTAGGTTTTTCTACGAATCCAAGGCTTCTATAGGGCGCTTATTATACGGCCTAAAGTCTCCACCCATAGGCTCCATAGCAGTTCCGTTTTGGGATTACCATATAGGAGTTTCCGAAAATTAGGGTTACCTTTTTGGGGGGTCCTTACAATAAGGAACCTACTATTTAATTAGAGTACTCTATTTGGGTCCCCTATTCTCGGAAGCTCCCATATAGGATTCTGGCCAGGATTCTTAAAAGGACCTATGGAGCCTATGGGCATACGCCTGTATGAAGCACCCTTGCACGGTAAGTCAGGGTTGAACGCTCTTAGGGTACATGTCGTACTCGAGACCCTGTACCCTTGATCCTACAGCAACACGCCAAAAGCTTGAACCCGGAAATTTGCAAAAACAGAAAATCCTAAAATGCCCTGGTCGGCACCAAAGGTCAGTGCTCTTCCTAGGATATGATCAGGGTGCACCTATACACTATGCTAAGGCCTTTCGATTGGCTTCACACTTTCTTTAATGTCAAAGGGGAAAAGGTCGCTGCCAAACCTGGTTTCAAAGGGGAAAAGGAGGGACCCTTAATGGGCTAGAAAATGGATATATAATAGCTATATTAAGGGTATATACCTAGGGGTCCTTATTAAGGGTCCCTCCTTTTACCCTTGGATAATGGTATCTTTCGCAACAACTGTGCGAGTCATCCGCAGAGCCTGAATCCTCTTGAACAGATCCCTTACACCCATGAACATCACAGACAAAAAATGCATACTGTAGGGGCCTTAACAGTTACCTATAGCAGTTTGGGTGTTCCTTATTATAACTATAGTAGAACCGGCCCCCAACACCCTGTTCTAATTATCAAGGCCCCTATGTAGTACTCCCGACCCCCTTGAGTCCTCTTTCGACTCCGCTGCTTGATGTGCCCCGCCGTGTGTGGTCAACTGGGGGGGCGCGCGGTTTTTTGGCAGCAAAGAAGTCTTGTTTTGCCCCCTAAACCCAAACCCTAAGCCCCCTGACTTTAACACGGCACCTAATACTTAGGGTACCCAAAACCCAGATGCCCGGGAGGATCTAGAAAGTAGATCCCCTATTTTGGGGGCCTTATCCTACTAAGGGTACTTTATAGGAACCCCCATTAAGGGATCTACTTTTTGGATCCTCCCGGCGGTCTGGGATGTCGACTGTGCTTTGGGTGCCTGTCGATACCTACTGATAACCCAGACCGACAGTCATGAAGTATTGAACCCTAATCCCTTACTGTAGGGGATTTAATAATTAGAATGGGGTTTGGGGGCACATTCTATTAGTACTATAATAAGGAACCCCCAAAATGGTATATACAGGTAATTTTATTGTCCCTATAGTGCCGTTTAGGGTCTCGGAAATGGGGGGTTCTTGGGAGTTTGAGCTTCTTGGAAGAAGGGCCTGCAAGAGTCTGACACCTTAGGATGCTTTCGATTTAAGCTGTTGTGATTCTTTTGGGGTTACAGGGGTCTGTGCTGATGAGTGTATGCATAGATACATCGCGGGTGTGTGTGTGTGTGTGTGTGTCCATATTCTGTGCTGTTCAGTAACCCACTTTTTTAGGCTTCTGGTGTTACAATAGGAACCCAGAAACCTGAAAGTAAGCAAGTGTACCACTGAACAGCCTGGTATTTGATTATACATGTAGCGAAGCTTACACCATCGAGCGGAAAAGGTTTCTTTGTGGTATACCATAGTTTTATGAGGACCATTGCAAAAATGCGATTGTTAATCAGGCAGAGTTATGTGCATCTTCGGAAATTGTCGGACCGGAAATCTCAGTGATGGGCTTGTGCGTGCCATTGGTGGATGAAGCACGATATCCCCCGACTAATGAGGGTATCCTTTGTATCAGGGTTTCCTAGGTCCGGAGTCAACAAGAATTTCAGTTTTCAGCGTATAGTGTGAAACATCTCCCTAAACCCTAAACCCAAACCCGTCTACACCACGGAAATTTATTGAAACCCTAACCCTTACCCCTGTTAGACCGCCGCACCGTCCCAAAACTCCGAATGTCAAGTTTGCAAACCCCAACCTACCTACCAAAATGAGAGCAGTGCAGGGCTCTAGGAGGCTGCTTCAGGGTGTCTTTTTTGCGGTGTTTTGGAGGATTCCGTACTGTAAGGGTGCCGAAGGCTTTACAACCCTGATCCGGAAGAGAACAAATCCAAAGTTTAGGGTTTAGGCGTTTTGGGGGGTTCAGGATTCAGGGTTGAGGGGTCTGGGGGTTTAGGGGTGTAGCGTTCAGGGTTTAGGATTGGGGCTTGGGGGGCTTAGGGTTTAGGGGCTTGGGGGGGTTAGGGGTGTAGGGTTTAGGGGTTTGTGGGGTTTAGGATTTAGGGCTCACCTCCAGCCTCAAAGCCTCTGGAGACCAACCATCCACCCCTCCACCCCGAAGAAAGGGGGCCTTAATGATTAGAACAGGGTTTGGGGGGCAAATTACACTACAGTTATAATAAGGAGCCACCAAAATATTATTGATAATTGTCTCAGCCCCTGTGTGAGATTCGAATCCTAAACCCCTATAGATCCCTTTAAAGGAACCCTAAACCCCTATTGTAGATCCCTACTACCCCTCGGGATAAAGAAACACAAAAGGCACAACAAAAGCCGAGCGCCACACTCGCGCGGCCCCAGGGTCCCTGCTCGCCTTGCAATACCTTGAAGACCAGGTCTCGAATTAGGGTTTAGGGTTTAGGGTTTAGGGTTTAGGGCCAGGTCTCGAATATCAGGGTGTTTAAGGGGGTTTAGGTTCAAGCACTTCAGGGTCAGGTTACACTTACCGACATGCGAAATACTGATAGTCTAGGGCTTTGGAAGTTGCGAATTGGGACTTATCGACCTAGTTCGCGGCAGCTCTTGACGTTTAGGTTTGAACAACCTGGTTTTGCCAGACCTGTTGCAACACCCAGCGCTTCAGGTTCAGCACTTTTCGTCCTGTCGCTGCGGCAATCATTACTCGTGGCACTGGGGTTTGCGGTAGTCCTGTCACTCTGGAAACTACCATCCTTCCCCCCCGCCCCTCCAGCATGACGATAACAGGTTCAAAGCCGCCTAGTGACCTAGTGGCCTAGTCTTCGCGTTGTCGCTGTCGTCAACTTCTTTCGTTGCTCTTGTTCGCGGCTTCAGGCACGGAGAATTGCACAGGTTTGGATTCAGGGTTCATCATGCCTCTTGGTGTACATACTACTGCAAGTCGGAAACAGAACATAGAGTCAAGGCTACCAGCTACCACCTGCAAGACATGTCTCAGCTGTCCATCATCTCAAGCAGGATGCCAGCCAACTGGATGCCCCATTTGTCGGGGGGCCAGGGTTGGGAAGCTGCAACCTCCAACCTGCAAGTCCGTCTCCTCCGCTCGTTTCTTCATGAACTTGCTCAGCAAGTCTTGCTTGTCGACATGGGAGTTTCCGAAAATTAGGGGTACCCTATTGTAGGGTCCGTATAATAAGGATCCGACTATTTAGGGTTCTATACGTTAAAAAACCAACGTATAATAAGGATCCGACTATTTAGGGTTCTATACTAGGGTCCCCTATTTTCGGAAACCCCCACATGGTGCTGCATGCACCTCTCTCGGGCACAGCCAGGCCGTGAATCTCAGCTTTGGCGTGTTCACGGCGGAATGCTCCCTTGGCCATCAGGCTCAGACCATGATCTTCATCACCGTTGGCCCCTTGTGAACCAAGAAAACCGAACAAACGACAGAGCCCTAGGGCCCAAGCCTACACCTCGAACCCCTGCACGCCGCAGGATGGGTTGGAGGCTGCAAGGTGTCCGGGACTACGCTGCAGCACGTCGGCTTCCCACTTGTTTCGGAAACAATGTAACGAAATCGGTTGAGGGTTTAGGGATTGATGGAACAAAAATCTCGTCAGGGGGTACAAGCAAACTCGGAAGCCTATGAACAATGACACGAAACAAACCGTTGTAGTAAGGTTTAGCTTATGGTAACACTCTGCTGAAAGAGATGAGTGATGGCGGCTTACGGTAGATCCTTACAATTCATTCAGCCTCCAGGGCTCTACGAAAACCCTAAAACACGGAATAAGTCTTAGCCAGTGTGTTTCATGATTTCAATAAGACTTTGGGGGCCTAGTAGAGCGCATTCATCTAGCGGAGTAATTGTTCAAGCCTCTATGGTGTTGACGGTAGCATTACCCCAAGGGTCCATGTACCCAAATAGTATACGGATTGGCACAAAGTACCTATATAGGGACAATTTCAAGGAAAAAGTGTATAGTATTTGGGCACATGGACCCGTAAGGAAACCCTTAACCCCTAAAGCCCTAAACCCTAAACCATGGACCCTTAGGGTTACTGAGTTCGTGACATCTCGACCAGTTCGGCAGATATCGGCTGCAATGCCTGGTGCAAAGGTGGCGAAAGAGCGTTTGATTTAAGGGTTCAGGGCACCTGGGAGTTTCCGAACATTGGGAGTACCTTATTTAGGGGGTCCCCTTATAGTAAGGATTCTCGAATTTAGGGTGCTATATTAGGGTCCCCTATTCTCGGAAACTGCCACTTAGGGTTTAGGGTTTCATTGTAAGGTTTGAGAGCTCGCTGTCTTAGGGCTCTCGGCTTTGACGCTCTTAAGGAGTTCTAGGCTGCATGCCTGCGTGGTGCTCGTTGAAGTTCTGGCAGTATTGTGCCCGAGTCTTTTTGCAAAACCTATATGTTTTTGGTAGCTTCTACTCGATACACTTCTTAGAAAATGGCCAACTGCTTAACGCCGGAATAGAATCCAAAGCCCGAGAAGCCTACAGTAGAAGCCCAAAAGATGGAAACCCCAGAGCCTCCATCCTTAAGAGTAATGTATAGGGAATCCCAGCACTATTTGGCCTTGATCCAGTTTCCAACTTTATGGGGTTTACTGCGGATTACAGGCCCTGAGCTGGCTGGCACTCACTCCTAGGGTCCGAGTATCACCGTAACATACCTACCCAGACGCCGGGAGGATCCAAAAAGTAGATCCCATAATGGGGGTTCCTATAAAGTACCCTTAGTAGTGTAGGGCCCCAAATTAGGGGATCTACTTTCTGGATCCTCCCGGGCGTCTGGGTAGCTATCAAGCTTGGCTTGACCCCGCGCAAACATAGTTCCTGCAGAGGCCTGAAAGTAAGGTCGCACAAGAGTTGAACCCTGAACCCTAAGCCTAAACACAAAACCCTATTAATGTAGGAACCTGATTAAGAAACCTTGGGCCTTTATTCGGGTTCCTTATATGCAATGAATCCTACTATTTTGGGGTTATAGGCCCAGGGTTTCTTAATCAGGTTCCTACAGTAGTTGGGTCTCCTCTTGGGAAGACGGTCCAGCTGAGCTCCGGACGGCTCCCATCTGAGGGCTATCGAAGTGGGCCAGGATGCCTCAAGATAGCTTTGCTTTCAGCAGGCATCTTCAGGCGTTTTGGGTTTAAGGTTGAGGGTTTAGGGACATGCTGTAATGATTCTGTGAAGGGTTCCTTGATGGTTCTCCGATTTTTTGGCCAGCGTTGAAGTTTCATCCCACTTCCTGAAGCACCGCTTTCCATCTCTGATAAAACGCAGAATTTTGCGACACGGGCTGCGACATTAGCAACATACGGCGTATTCGAGGCCATATGAGGGCCATCGTGGCGACCATGTATTTTTGAGTTTGCCCTGTTGTCGCTGATCCAGCAGATCATGAAACATCATCCGCTACACAGTAATAAACACGTAGTATGAGTGCCTAATTCTTATAGTCATAGCATGGTATACTCCCGAATCCTATTCTAAAGCTGAACCTTGCCGGATGCCTGAGGTTGCTTTCCCCTGAGCCTGGGCAGTTGTCAAAGTTAGGGTCTCTTTGTTGGGTACCCTTAAGACTAGGTGCCGATTTAAGAATAGGGATCCCAAAAATGGACCATAGTTTTGACAACCGCCTATATATGGTCCTGGTATATATGCTCATGGCATCTTTCCAGCATGCTACCACAGATGCAAAGCCTCTGCCATATCCGTCCGGTTCAGAGAATGGCTTGAAAGCTTGCATCCAATCTCTAAGCACAAGAAACGATGGGGCTTGTCTGTCATCTCTCAACACTCGATGGCTCCTGGAGGGATGATGACACATGCTTTGTTTTGTGAGTGCTAAACCATACATACTGCATTTCAAGTGTTCCCTTTGCCCCCATTGGTCCAAGTACATGAACATCACCTGCTCCGCAACATGCGGACCCAGGGACAGGACACAGGCCCACTCAGATGCGAAAACCTACTTGCGTCGACGGTTCAAGCACGGACCATGGAGCGAAAATCTACCCAGAGGGTCCTAAGTACCTACACGGTAGAATGTCGGGATTTTCATATGGGAACTGCTATTATGGCTTGGGCAAGTAGTAAGTCTTATATAAGTACTTAGGAACCGATGGGCTATTCTCGCACCCTAATAGCTGAAGTCCTGAGGCCCCGAACCTAAGCCAATAATGAACTCAACACAGGTTAGCTGCGGTTTGGGGGAGGGTTAAGGGTTTAGGGTTTACAGGGTAGCTGGGGTTTGGGGAGTAATGTAGGGGTCTCAAGTACTCGTTTAACAGGGTTCGGGGAGTCGATAAAATGTTCTTCATATACAGTGAACCCCAGAAAGTTGGAACATGGGTTTAGGAGGATTCGTGCTAGGATCCCTTATACTTTACCTTAAGGGCATGAGGAGAGTCATGTTCCAACTTTCTGGTTTCTACTATAGTCAGAAACCTGAAGGAGTAACATTGATAATCGTTCCGAGCCTATGAATCATAGGATGGCTGGAAGTTGACATTAAGGGATCCTACCACCAAAACACGAAGCCCGGCAGCCTACACCCGAAGGGCATGAAACCATGAACCTCTAAATCCGCCAAGCTGAGGGTCCGGGGGATTTACTAAGTCGTTATTTTATAGAGTTTTAAGTCATAAGTACCGCAACCCCTCTCAGGATTCCTTAACGAGTACCTATTACTCTACGTATTACCTAATTACTACGTCCCCCGACCCTCCAAGAAGAGGACCCTAGCAGAACTAGATGTTATCCTCTGCGAACATATAGGGCTTGCGATGTCTCAAAGCGGGTAGAGGGTGCCTACTCCACTACCTGGACCCCCAAAAGTATGTAGAATACTAGCCTTTTATGGGTTTTGGGCCATTAGTTTACCTACTTTGGGGGGTCTAGGTACTAAGCTAAATCCACCAAGCTAGCCAAATCCTAAGTGAGACCTCACCTCTTGGAACTTCTCTCGGAATACTCTCCGAAAGAACTATTACATCTATCATTGATCTACTGAACCCTAAAAACTCATGTAAAGATAACATTCAGTTCGCTGTATTCCTTTTTGTTAATACATCCTTTTATCAGAGAAATTAAGCCTGGTTCGTCCGTCTATGGGGGGTAACCATGCAAGGAAGCCTAGAAACGATTCTCTTTAAACCATTAACCCTCCGGGCCCTATACCCTTAACCCTGATAACAGAAATAACCAAAGTCTCTTCTTCAACAACCGGGCCCCAAAAAGTTCAAACTTTTCTGAGATAGAGCCAATAAATAAGGCCAAAAAGTTTAAAGTTCCCCCGTTCACCATCTAAGCAAAACAGCCCCAAATCCGGCAGCAGTTGCTAGCCAGGTGCGCAGGAAGGATCCCACTCGCCTGGGCCGAAGGCAGAATCCACTGAGAGCTTGCTTCAAGAGCCTTCTGTAAGGGCTTCCTTTAAGAAGGATCGCTGTAATGTAGGAACCTGATTAAGAAACCCTGGGCCTATAACCCCAAAATAGTAGGATTCATAAAAGAAACCCGAATAAAGGCCCAAGGTTTCTTAATTCAGGTTCCTACATTAATACCCCCTCAACATCCCTAAACCCTAAACCCTAATTTTTTTTGGAGCCCTTTAAAGGAACCCTTGTAGTTCCTACATTGCCTATCTTATGGGCTTCCTAGAGGAAGCCTTAGCTGACTCCAGTCACGAACTCTTCGTCTCAGGACTCCGCAGTGCGAAACACTAAATGGGTGGCAAAATTAGGGTCCCTTTTTGGGCCCATAGTATAATACGATACCTAATATTTAAGGTACCCAAAAGGGACCATCATTTTGACCATTTGCTGGCGCCATTGAACTGCAGAAAAGCCGACGTGAATATTGGTGCGGTTTCTGGGTTTCGGGTTTAGGGTCTGGGAATTGTTAACAAGGACGACCATAGCCGTAGAGGAGGCAAGTCTTGTAGGGCTCTCGTCCTGCACCACGACTGCTTCAAGTGGGTGCGGGCTGGGAGTGTCGTCTCGTGGAGTTCGGGCGCTCGGGGCGGCTGTAGGTGCAGGGCTGGGAGTCGCAGACTGATTCCAGCTGCAGGGTCGGACAGTCCAGTCGCCGTCGCACCGCCACTGCGTACAGCTGTCGCACTGCTTCCAAGCTCAGTCGGCGGCCGGGGACACTAGAGCCCCCACATCGAAACAGTAGCTCAACCAAAGCTTGCCCGTGTAACCGTTGCTGGTAAAGTTGGCAAGCGAAAACTCTGCTGGTCAGTGACATCAGACGCCAGATCATGCGTCCCGAATCAATCGGGCAGACATAACAAGGTGGCACATGTGCAGGGAACAGCAAAGAGGCCACCGAAAATATTGCTTCCAAGAGCAGAGATGCCGAGAACAGGACAGGAAGTTCACAAGTCATTTCGTTTGAATATTTGCTACTACCACCACGATCTGCACAAAATGCACAACTCATGCAAGACAAGAAACAAACATGAAACCCGTGAAACAAAACTATTCCGCTTCAGCCTTCAACGTTCTCATGTGAATGTTTGAGAGTACCAGCAGAGCCTTCTAGGCGCTCAGTGAAAATTTGCCACTACCAGCAAGATCTGCACCAGAGGCTAGTCCACTTCAGCCAATCTCGCTTGAATACTACTACCACCAAGATCTGCACAACAGGCTGCTTCATTTCAGGCTTCAAAGCTCTCAGTTGGAAAGTTGCTACTACCAGTAATATCTACGGGTTTGTGTTGGTCTGAGTTTAGGTTGCATACACACGGTTTAGGGTTTAGGGACATGTGCGAAAAAACATGCATGTGGCAGAGGGAACATTGTGCTCATGACTTCGCTTGCTGCTATGCTGGGTTCCTGCTGTCTTACCTACTTGTCGGGCATCATGGGGAACTAAAGGTTAACCTTTTTGGTTATAAAGGGGCTATATAGGTAGTATAATACCCAAAAAAGAGCTTGGTCCGCAAAGCACATGATGCCCATGATGCTGCTGCAGTGAAAGCGGTTTTGTAGGTTTGCTGCGGTTGTCTAGGGCTCACAAAAAGTATCCTGAACCGCGAACCCAAAACCCTTAAACCTCTTATGCTATGATCTCCTTCTGCAGCTCCTGAAACTTTCCCCGCAAACATAGATCCGACCGCTTCCAAGCCCTAAACCAGACACCGACAAGCCTTAATCCGAGAAAGTAAACCCTAAATCCAAAACGCTCAACTCTAAAACCCAACCCCGCAACTCTAAACGCAACAATTACCCGAAACCCTGAGCCTCTAAACTCTAAACCCTAAACACTCAACTCTAAACCCTGAACGCGAAATTCTAAACCCTGAACCCGAAATCTTAAACCGACAAAAAGTAAACCCTAAACCTTAAACCCCAAAACTGTAAACATTGAACCCTAAACCTGAAACCTTAAGCCCTATAGGCTTTAAAACTTCAACCCTAAATCCTGAAGAACCCCCCTAAACCCTAAACCCTAAATCCTAAACCCTAAATCCTGAAGAAACCCCCCAAAATTAACCCACAGGACCGAGGCCGGGGCTCTTGGCTTTCCCGCCGATGCTTCTCTTGGTGGTAGTTCTTGATGGGGTAGATGATCATCTCCTGGGAGGGGTTATTCGGCTTAGGGTTTAGGGTTTAGGGTTATAGGAGGGGTTATAGGGGTTTTAAAGGGTTTCTAGGGCTAAGGGTGTTTTAGTGCTTAAGGCTTAGTTATGGGCTTTCTTCATGGGATAGATGATCATCTCCTCAGGGGGGGTGTCCCAAAGTTTAGAAGCCTAAAGGGTAACATAGGGTTTCGGGTTTGGGATTCTGGGATGGATCATCTCCTGGAGGTTTATGGGTTAGGGTTCAGGGTTTGTGGGTTTCACTTTAGGGGCTTCGCTTTGGGGGCTTCGTTTTGGGTTCCTGTAGGGGTGTCCTATAGGGTTTCTTTAACGTTTATGTTCGGATTTCCTTTCAGGGCGGTTTTGGGGGTTTTGGGGTTAAGGGTTTAGAGCTTCAGGGTCGAGGGCATAGGGTTTCGGGTTTGGGATCATGGGATGCATGATGATCCCCTCAGGGAAGGCGTCCCAGTGTTTGGAAGCCCTGAACGAGAATCAAAGGGTTTGACGGTGTAGGGGTCTGGGGTTTCGGGGTTTAAGGCTCTGGGGTTTAGAGCTTAGGGTTTAGGGCTTGGGGTTTTGGGCTTTCTTCATGGGATAGATGATCGTCTCCTCATAAAGGCTGAGGGCAATAGTACTAAGGCATGCGCAGAGAGAAACGAACATCTAAGCATAGATGTACATTATTGTAGATTTAGACATCCATAGCATAGAGATATAGAGAAATGTAGAGATAGATATGTAGATATTAAGCTTTGTTATATGTGAAACAGCCTGAACCGTAGACCCCAACCCCAATAAGCCCTATATACTGCAAACTCTGAAACTTTAGACCCTGGACCCGATGCCCTAGACAATAAACCTTAAACTCCAAATCCTCAAACTTTTACCCTTAGTTAACCCAAAATACCAAGAGATTAAGCATTAAACCCAAAGTGCTGGACCCTAATCCAGATTTTGGAAAGGGTTTTGTATTAATGCTGGCTGCGAAGTTTGGCATGCTTGGCCGCCTCTTTGCGTGTCTGCTTCAGCACGTCCTCGCCTCTTTGCAACACGTGCTTCTGAGCCTGGTTCTGCCACGCGGTCAGGTTGTCCCCTGCTTCTGCCACGATGGTGGCCGAAGCATGTGGTCTTTGGGCCCACGAGCCCCAAATATGAGCGCTTTAAGCCTTACAGTGCACCTTTCACCCTAAATCCTGAATGTTACACGCACAAACACTAGACCTCGAGCAGTAATTGCAAACCCTAGACCAGGAGCCTTAACCCTAAATGCCGCATAGATCCTTAGAGGAACCCCTTTAAAAGCCCCTCACGAAACCTAAATCCTCCGAGCGGAAGCCCAGAATGCGATTTAAATCAGAAGCCCTAAATCCCTACGTTCAATAAACCCAAATTGGGCATTTAGTGTTTGGGGGTTTATAGGGTTTCGGGTTTTAGGGTTTAGGGCTTGGCCCTAAACCCACAATCCCTGAACCCTGACGCCCCTATACCTATATACTATGAATCCCTATAATATATGAACCTTAAACCCTTTTAGAGTTCTAATTTCGTCCTTAAGGTAATGAAACCCCTCAAGGGGCCTTATAGAACCCTACTGTAGATCCCTTATGGGCCCCTTTAAGGAACCCTATGGGCCCTATCTTTAAGCTTTAAGCTTCATTTCGTCCTTAAGGTTCCGGGTCCTGAAGCATTTGCATCACTCGCTCTTCGAGGCTCGGATTCAACTCCGCGAGCTTCCTCGCAAAGAAGAGCGAAGTGCTTACCTTTGGTTAGTACGGTTGATGATATAAATCCTGCACTACCTGAAGGACCCTAAACTGTGGGAAATATTGTATATTCCCTATTATGGGTAATGCAGGATTTATATCAGCAACAGTAGGAACATTCTGGGGCTTCTTTAAGGGATCTATAAGAGTATACTATACTTACCTTGGGTTAGTAGGGAACGGAGGTATGGGGTACAATTATAACTAATATTACTACCTTTCATCCATTCCCTACTTTCCAAAGGTAAGAGTGTGAGTTTCCGCGACCTTAACAAAGTACCCTAAGTAGTAGGATCTTGATTATAGGGACCCCAAAATTTAAGGTACCCCCTCATTTTCGGAAACTCCCAAGTAAGTATAGAAGCAGAAGAGCGACGTAAGAACCGGTATTACGGGGGCCTTAATAATTAGACGAAGAGTGGCTTGAAAATCTTGGGCACTGTAGTCTCAGCCCCCAAAATGCATTTTTTTTGCATACGCTACGGTATAACTGGCAACCGTCTGGGAGGCATCCTGGCACTGCGGGGGGGAGGGTCTACAGGCTGTTCATCTCGGGATAGGAATATAAGACTTGGGGGAAAGCCCGTTCCAACCAAAGCGGTAATCCTCAGCGAGGTAGTACCGGTACCCATGTTCCTACTACGGATTCAGTGTCACTTCGCAGACCCCCCCTCTAAAACAGAAGGCAAAAGGGTTTTGCCGATGAGCAGAATGACTTGAATAATTTCGGGATATCTGTAGCATCATTATATTGAAGGATGGCTCAGGAGTTCTACAAACTGACAATCCGCACCCCTTAAAATTCTGGTACGGTCCCGTATGACCCAGGCAAGCTCAGTAGTTCAGCCCTAGGAGTGCGCACCTTGGTGTTCACACCTTCTCTGGGTAAGGGTTGCAGCACAGTTGAGACCCCATATGAGAGTGTCCGAAACAAGGGGACCCTAATAAAGTACAATAAATAGAAGGATTCTTGTTACAAGGACCCCAAAATAAGGTATCCCCCTATTTTCTGAAACTCCCGTATATACATTGAGCTCCTTCGCCCTAAACCGTGGTCCCAAAAGACCCTCTGAAGCCCTTGGAAGCCTCGTAAAATCCAGAAGTCGTGAGAACCAGAGTAAGATGCCAGCAAGTTTGCCCATAGAAGAACCCATATAGAGCAGCTATGGAATCCTCACGAGAAGCCCTTACCCAGAGGCTCCATAGTAGTTCCTTTTGGGGATTACCTTATAGGATTCTAAATATAAGCACCGAAAAGGAACTACACGCCCGAAGCCCGAAACTGGAGCGGCCTTAATAGCTTCATGCACTGCTCACCAAGTCCCTCCACGTCCACGACCTGGCAGATTCTTCCCATCCCCATACATAGCGCTCTTCTATCTCAAAAAGTAAGGAGAATGAACAAGTATCCCAAATCGCTACCTAGCAAGGTTTAAGGGTAACCCTAAACCCTCAACTGTTGGATTTGGCTTTTGAACTTTGATCAGCCCTTGGCTCTTCGAATAAGTATAGGTCGGCTAGAGCCTGGTGTCCTTAGTGTTACCTTTGGTTAGCAGGGAATGGAAGAATGGTAGTAATAGTAGCTATAACTGTACCCCATTCCTCCATTCCCTGCGAACCAAAGGTAAGTAATAAGTAGGGTTTTCCAGGACCCCACAAGTCTTCTGGTCCTGAATAGTGGGTGTTTAAGGTATATTGGAGGTCGAGGTTGGGTTTAGGGTTTAGAATAAGGATTCGGCGGCCGTTATAGTATACTTCTAGTCTCGGGCCATCTCGTTGAGAAACCGGCACACGTCTTTGTTTTCCAATTTGCTCAGAGAGCCTGACTGGTTCAGATCCTACGCTGCGTCGATGGAGGTTGGCTTGAATGACCAGCAACCTGGAGATGGCAGTAGAGTAGGGGCCTTAATAATTAGAATAGGGTTTCGGGGTATCATATACCATAATTATGACACGGAACCCCCAACATAGTATTTGTAATTATTCAAGGCCCTAGAATAGTATGCTCCGCGATGTTGTCTGGATTGCATAATCCACCCAGCATAGATCCCATGCACTTGTCTCAGGGGGTTGGAACTCTTCATATGAACGAAGAGGCACAGCACGTCTTCGACAGCAGCCTTCGTGTTCGTGTAGTATACTTCTGAGAAGAAACCCCAGGAATACCCCAGCTTTTACATTGCTTTTTTGTTGTTTTCCCGGGCGTTTCGGGCTAGGAAACGTCAGGGTTGGTTGAACTGTCTTAAGTGGGCTTCTTCACGGATACTTTCAGGGCTCGCAGACGAGGAAGGCGGCGGAGCCATAGATGCCTCTGGCATGCGGACGCTCGCCCTTGCCGGACAAAAGGCGCCAAAGGGCATCGGCAGCGTGGTGTCCGGCGGGGCCTTGGGGAACTCGGCGAGATATCCCTCCAAGGCGGTGTCCGCCCCCAAGTCGTCTCTGGGCGACCCAGGCTGGGCAGTCTCCGACTGGTGCCTCAAGACCTGCCACGCGTGACATTTCACCGATCTGCCGCTTTACGCAGCACGTGGACCAAAACTCCAAAAGCATGGCATGACTGCTTGCGTACCGGATTGCCTTCCTGCCCTGAATCGTCGCCATCGACATCCTCAAAAACCGGGATCTCCGGCGATCTCCGATGCGCGCCCAGGCGGGGCGTTCTGGGCCTGCCAGTGCTGGTGTGCCTCCGGCCCGGATCCACTGCCGAATCCCCTTTTACAGCTGCTCAGGTGTCCGAGATTGAAGATTTGCGCACTTCGAAGTTTCAGATCTTGGCGGACGGTCTGCTCCCGCTTGAAACTCTGGGTGGAATGCAATTACCGGACCGGTCCCCCAATACCCTAAGCCCTAAACCAGAAACCCCAAATCCTAAACCCAAGCCGCGAAACCTTGCTTACACCCCAAATCCCAAACCTGGAGGGAGGAGGACCTCTTCCCAGTTGCTGACATCCCTGCCCCAAACCTGGTTCTCCACATAAGAGGAAACACGTCTGTTCAGTCCTCACCTTCACCTTCACCCCCCCTTGACAATCTTCAAACCCTACACCCTTAAATCCTGAACCCTAAACCCCAAATCCTTGACCCCTAAACCACCATCATCATCATCATCATCATCATCAGGCTGACTGGTGCTGACTGGCTTTGAATAAGCCCTCTGTCAAATAATTCCCGGGCATTGACCTGAGGGGGGGGAGGATCCTAGTCTTAGCCCAACAGGACCCTAGCCTTAGAAATTATGGCAGGGAGAGTTTTAGCACCAAAAGGTTAAAGGTTACCTGCTTAGCCCCTAAGTAACATAACCCCAGAAGCCCCTATGGCGTTTCGGGCGAAAGGCCTTCTTAAATTGCTATGCCGCGCGAAATGCATGAGACGGGGGGAGGGCCGGTGTACATTCTAGCATGACTGCATAGGGACTAGGGACGAGACGGGTTTTGCACAGACCACTGAAAGATCGTATAGGGCCGCCAAGCTAGTATAGGGTCTGTGAGGATACAGTACTTACACGGACTGAAGCGAGATAGTATAGGTACAACAAAAGCACAGCCGAACCAGCATTTTCCAAAGGACTGAATCAGCTTTTGAATGAAGTCGACGGAATAAGACGAAGGCCCGCTGACGATCTCTAGCACCTGTGTGTGAACTCCTTTACTAAGCTTTGGGGTTCCGGTTTTAGGGGCTCAATGAAGAAGCTGCTATGGTTTGAGGGACCCTCCCCTAAACTACCAAACCCTACTTTTTGTAGGTTATTATGAACCCTAATATGGATTTTTTGGGGACCCTACAAAAAAGTAGGTTTTGGTAGGTTAAGGTCGACAATAAACCGTAAACCCTAATCCCTAAATAAGCATGTAGCATCAAGGCCGAACACTCCGCCAGGCCACCGAGAGCTTTGCAACGGCACGCAGCAGTAGGATCTGCCCCAAGTCAGAGAGTAGGGTGTTTAGGGTGTAGGGTTTGAGGGGTTGCGGGTTGAGCGCTTCCCAATCAGATTGTGCGAGGTATGGAACCCCTGAGAAATAGCAATCATTGGTAGGGCTCCCCCCCCAAGAAAAAATGTGCCCCTAGTTTCCGAAACCGCCACATGGAGGATGCGAGTCGAAGGGTGGATCAGAGTGCTGCCGCTCCTATACTGTACTACAAGTCGAAGGCGTTGAGGGACTTCTCTGGACGGAGTGGCATGCACGCACACGATAAGAAACATCAAAAAGAGAACCCAATTGAGTTCACGCATTGGGGCTACAACGCCTGTGGAGTCTAATTTGGCTAAACCCTGTTCGCCACCCTTATAACAACCCCTTTAACCGTGAAATTCTAAGGCTTTTAATGATCCCACTCTGAGCAGAATCAGAGGAACCGTTCTTAAAGCTACCCTGATAGGAGCCTTTTAGAGGAACCCTGTTCGCACTGCCTGTGGCTCCTCATGATAGCCCTCTACTGTGCTAAACAAACCTCTTAGAGCAACCCGTATACGGAAACCCTCCGAGGGAGCCCCATATACTCCAACCAAGACCTTTGGGCTCCATGTACCCACGTAGTATATACTGAGGCCTTGAAGTAGTCCCCGTTTTTGGCTACCGTAATTCAGTAATTCTTTCTTATTAATTATAGGACCCAAGTTGTAAAACGAGTCATCCACAGAGGGGTAATACCCTTAAGGGTATATACTGGGGCCTTCAAGTACCGACATGGGTGGTTGTCAAAATGGCCAGGATGACCATCACGATTTCATGCAAGAAGCCGTGGGTGTTGCATGCTTTTCAGGCATCCAGACTCATTCCACGTGGTATCGTTTCAGGTTGAGGATGCTTTGACATTAGAACGGTGCTACAGGAGACTCAGCCAAGCGGAACACACGAGTAACTGTCTCCCATGCTTTGCATGTAGGACCTCTCAAAGGTTCCTGGGGCAGTGGCCCAAAGTGACCATCTTCCCGGTCAACGCACTGGCTTGTGGAGCATTCACTGGTAAGTGAGCATTGCTCTAAATATTGTTGGGTCGAAATAAAGGAGCGGCAGGGACTCCTGCTCTGCCGCCTGCCGTGCTGACCGCCGTGACAGAGGCAGTGGGCGGTCGGCGGTACGTCGTACATGCTTGTTGCTTGTCCGGCTTGTCCAAAGGAAGCAGGGCTTCAGGATCGCAGCACCAGTCACGTAGGAGCAAGCCACACGGCGGAAGCTCTGCATCTGTTATTCTAGAAGAGTAGGTACCCTAAAAAAGGGGTAGGGTATCACCCTCTAGGTATGGATGGGTACATGGAGCCTCAGGAAGTAAGGCACGTATCCTGTACCCAGCAGAAAACAGGTTGCCCTTGTAAAGCTCTTCGAACATATTCGTAAATATGATCCCCTTTTCGCCCAACAAAATTGTGAAATATACCACGGCCTAAAGGCCCTAAAACCGAAACCCTCAACCTGTAAACGCCAAACCCCTAAAGACCCTATAGCCCGTCAAGAGATCCCTTGAAGCAGCCCTTACAATACCCCTTAAAGGCCCTAAGCCCAAAGTCCTACCTTTAGTTGCTGAGTTCATAAGCCCCAAAAGGTGTACACTTTTAGTTTCAGAGTGGGAAATACTATCCCAAAAAGTGTAAAGTGTATCCACTCAGCTACTAAGCTACCAAGGAATCCAGGAGTACCTGCCTTCTGGTTCGGACCTGCGATGCGGCCCGCAAGGACTTCGAAGTCACCTGCAGCCAAGTCTGGTTTAGGGCCGAGGGCAACTGGGGGCCTTTACGCTTTAGCGTTTAGGGTCTAGGTTTAGGGTCTAGTTTAGGGTTTAAGTCTAGGATTTAGGGTCGAAGGTTGAGGGTTTAGGGTGTAGGGTCTTGGTAGGGGCATTCAGGGTTTAGGGTCTAAGACTATTACTTTCAAGTTCAAACTTTGTGCCAATTATGGTGGCGATACATGCGCTATACATACTATCACGCCGCATGCCTATGTTGATTTGTTTGCCTTCTTTTACCTTTTTCCGTCTCATCTCGGCCACCGGCGATCAATCTGGCAAATCTCTGCTACTTGAGGACATTGCCCTAAACCCTCAACCCCTAAACCCTAAACCCTAAGAATCTCGAGTGGCTGTCGTAACGGAAATCACCTGCCCTGAAGTCGAAGGCCTAAACCCTATACACCAAACTCAAAGAAGTGTCCAAGCATGTGGCAGTAGTAGCCTTAATAGATTCAAGACGTAGTTAGGGACGGAGTGCAGCTGTAGCTGTCGACGAAGCCCGCCCACGCCAAAAAAAGCCTTCATAGCTTCAAGAGAAATAACCTTGCAGCCTACGTCAACGTCGTAGTCTACAAATTCACCCCTGTGGTACTGCGCAGCTCATAGGGGTCCGATGCCCTGAAAGATAAATCACCCTAACAGATCAACACCGAAACCCCTAGGCCCTAGACCCTAAAAGACGAGCCCTATACCCTAAACCCCTGCTTTAAGCCCCAAACCCATTGTAAGCCCTAAACCCCTAAACTCTAAACCCTAAACCCCTACAGTAAGCCCTAAACCCGAAACCCTAAACCCCTAAACCCTAAAAGGAGTCTCAAACTCTGAGACTGCGGCCCATTAGGGTCTGAATCTTCTCCGGTGCTTTGACACTGCCCTGGCAGATCCGTGATCTTCAGGGTACCCTAGGGATCTAAGGACTCACATATTAAGCCTTTTGGGCCCAAGGACCATACTATGTGAGGCTTTAAGGGCTCCTTATAGGGTTTTGTAAGGGTTTATTTCTAGGGGCTGGTAGTAGGGGCCGGAGCTCATGGTAATGGTTAAGACTTCTTGTGGAGCAGACGGGCTCAGGGCTTTCAGAGTTTGGAGTTTAGGGTGTGCCTATAGTCTCAATTGTAGTTCCTTTCGGGGGTTACCTTTTAGGATCCTTAAAAAAAGATTGGTTAAACCAAGACAAGGAGCTGCAATGGAGACTGTAGGTAGAGTTTAGGGTCTGCTGCAGGGTTCAGGGCCCACGGCGCAGGGTCCAAGACCACTCGGATCGTCACTATGACCAGAATGGCAATTGAAAGCGTGTGAACACTATCATCTTAATCTTCTTAAGCCCAAGAAGTTGACAATTAGGATATTCCAAAGGCCTCCCTGGAGAGGCACCCCACCCAAAGTAAGCATACTCCGGCCAGAAGCTAAGCAGTCGCGGTGGTTTGGAGATCCGATAAAGGGATAAACGAGAGCATGAACCAACACAACGATACTACAACAAAAAACAAAAGAACGCCCAAGAGCCACAAAGGCAGTAGATGCCTAATTAATGTGATAAACACCCCACAAAACTGGGCCCGAACCCCAAAAGTGCGCTGCACTTGGCCTGGTGAAGCTCTTCTCGCAGGTTCGCCTTACATAACAAGGCCGCGTTTAGGGTTTGGGGTTTGGTGTTCAAGGGAAGTTGAATTTAGGCCTTTTTTTGCTGTTGCTGCCACAGAGGGTCCATATTTACTACGACGATGGAGTTACCAAAAAATCCACTTTTGGGACACTAATCCATCGTGGTAGCATTTGTGAACCCTCCGGGTTCAGGGTTTAGGGTTCTAGTTATATTATGTGCAGGGTTTGAAGGTTGCACGTGGCTTGGGCATTGCACGTTTAGCTTACAGTGTTCTGCATTTGGTATGCGATGCTCGCAACTAAAGCCCACTACCCGCTGTCAACGTTCCACCATGGCCGACCTGAAAACGTTGAAACCCGAAGCCCTGCCAGTAAGCAAGCGCGATGCACACCCGGCAAATATGACACAGAGAACATCACCAACCCTAAACAGCAAACTCCGACCCAGCCACTTGATCCCCTAAACCCTTAACAAAATATGCCCTAAACCGCTGAACCCCAAATCCCTGAAACCGACAACGGGTTGTGGAGAATTTATGCTTTCGTTTAGGGTTGAGGGGTGCAGATCATGTTCAAGCCTATACCCCAAACCCTCACATCCCAACACCAAGCCTTAAACCTTAGACGACTCTAAACCCCCAAATCCTGAACCCTACACCGTAAACCCCACATCCTAAATCCCGAACCCTAAACCCTAAACCCAAAATCCTAAACCCCCCAACCCGAAACCCCAAACCCTAACACCCGAACCCTAAACCCTACAACCAAATCATTAACCATCAATCCGAAAATTCCGACCCCTGAATCCCGCACTTTAAAGTTCGCACAGAGAAGCACCTACTTTTCTATGGGTGTATACAAGGAGATCATACTGAGGAACCCCACAAAGGAAGGTTATTTGGGAACAAGGCACACTCTAAACCCCTAAACTCTGAAACCCTATACTCTAAATTCCTAAACCCTAAACCCTTAAACCCCCTAATCTAAATTCAGAGAAACCCTAAACCCCTAAACCCCATGAGGCTTAAAGTAGCCCCTTCGAGCTGAGGAGCCATATCTTCGGGCAAGCCCTGCGAGATGGTGTGCGTGAGCCTGGCTTCAAGGGTTCTTTCAACTAGGATGTCCAGCTTGTAGGATGACCATTAATAATTACTAGGGTTCCTTTAAAGGGGTCCTTTAAAAGGATACTATAAGGGATTAAAGGTGTGTGCGTGAGCCTGGCTTTAACTTACCGTTGGTTAGTAGGGAACGGAGGAATGGGGTATAATTATAATTACTATTACTACCATTCTTCCATTCCCTACTAACCAACGGTAAGTTAAGGGTTCCTTCAAAGTCCGACCTTTTTAAGGACCTATGTAAGGAGATCATAGTAAGGAACCCTAAACAAGGTAGCTTATTCAGGGTTAAGGTAGGGATCTAATCCCTTCATAGTCTAGGATCCCCCGTAATAATTACTAGAATTCCTTTAAACGGGTCCCTTAAAATGGTAAGGGGTCTACAAAGGTACCATAATATACTAGGATGCCCAGTGACCTAGGAATAAAACAGGGCTCCCTTTTTTGGTATTGGGTAACTTTATAAGGAACCTAGGACTACAAAAAGGGAACAAGGGTACTATTGGGCCTCCTAGTCTTAGTTGCTGAGTTCACAAGCCGCCCAAAAATGCACACTTTCAGTTTTAGAGTGGGCAAGTCTATCCCAAGAAGTGTAAAGTGTATCCAGTCAGCTCCTAAGTCAAAGTGTTCCTCGAAAAGGGAGGCTTTCGGGCTTTGGATTTTGGGGGTTTAGGGGATTTACAGTGTAGGGTTTCGGGGTTCAGGGCTGAGGGTTGAGTCGTGGGCTTTAGGGCTCGGCTCCTTTAAGCGGGCTTTCTCGGGTTCCTTCAAGGCTTCCCAAGGTTCCATGAAGTGGTTCCGATTTCGATTCCCTAAAGTCCCCTTGAGGGAGGTTCCTTTAAGGGTGAACCTGTCATGCTTTTGGTGGGTCATGATGGTTTGCTGTCTTGGGTTGGGGCTGTAGGATTTCGGGCTGCGGGGCTGTGGGGTTTAGGGATTGAGGGGTCTTGGGGCTTAGTGGCCTTAGGCTTTGGGCATTTGTTCGGGCTTTGGTTATGGGGTTTCAGCAAAGGTAGCAGTGCTATTCGGACATACAAGTCAGTTGGCGGAAAACTTCGATCAGTAAGACCATAGCTAACATTGCTTGTGGTGGATACCCTTGTGCAGCATTAACCAATACAGCTCACAGCATAGGCTGTGTGGCAATTGCAGTTCCCCATATGCTCATAAACGTGGTTCGAATGGCTCGCAAATGACTGCACAGAACTTGTGTTGCAAAGCCAGACATGCTTGTTGAACAACCTCTTTGTATGAGACGTCTAGAAAGGTGCAATTGAACATTATCTGTCATGTCTGACATGTTTCTGATCTCAAGAACCTCACGAAAAATCTGAGCCACTAACACAGTTCTTTTGCGCTGATACTGATGTATATCGGTTGTCGACGTCACCAGTCAGCTGATGGATGGGTCGGTGACATCCTTTAGTATCTGCTGCTGGTGTGTGTGTGTGTGTGTGTGTGTTTGTGTGTGTGTTGAGTCTGTGTGCTTGCTTCCGGGATTTGTCGTCGCGAAGGCTACATCCTTGGGCCATAGGGGTTGGGGTTAGGATATACTCTAGTTATATATGCTATGGTTTGCTGGCGTGTCCAATTTTGTCTCGGTGTCCGAGGCTAGAGGTACATTCTTGGGGCAGTTCAGGTTAATTACCATAGCTGCTTCGGTCTGCTGAGTTGTCCGTTGGGGTGTTGCGCGCTCGGCGGTTTGGGGCGGCGGTTCTGAAACCCTATAAATCCCGTAAGCCCTAAACCCTGAACCCTAAACCAAGTAGTATCAACGAAGAAGCACCACCCATACCCTCCCCGCCGTTTACTCAACAAAAATTCAACAAACAACCTACCCAGTCGGTAACCAGCCCAAAGCCCCAGAGCCCTTAAAAGTCAATCCCGCGGATCTATCGAAGCCAAAAGCATGTCGCATGAACGCCGGCAGCATCCGAACAAACATGCAAAACCACACACAGCCGATATACACACCCTAAAACGCTGAGAACCCACAAAATCCCACAACAACCTTACCCTAGAAGCCTCTAAGACCTAAACCCTAACCCCCAAACCTAAACCCTAAACACCAAGACCAGACAGCGACTTCAACTCTGCCAAACCCTAAGGCTCCATGTACCCATATAGTAGGTACTTAGGCCTTAAAGTACCTATATAGGGACCCCTTTAAGGCCTAAGTACCTACTACTTGGGTACATGGAGCCTTTGGGAAAACTGTCGCGGGAGCACCGCGTCAACCCGGCGATGGCGATCTGCACTGAGTCTGGGTCTTGCAGGGCCCGGACCTTCAGACTCTACAGTGGGGTATAGTAGACCCTTGGGTTCCTTTCAAGGGGTCTATTCTATAGGGGGATCTATACGGTGATTAAGGCCAAATAGTGCTGGGATTCCCTCTACATTACTCTTGAGGAATGAGGCTATTGGGTTTCCAACTTTTTGGCTTCTACCGTAGGAAATCTCAGCTTTGCAAAGGCTGTAGAAGATCTGGGTTCCATAGGGTTCTTTGTGGTGTTTCACAGCCTGAAGGACCAAATGACCCTTAAAAGTAGGGGCCCTATACCCTTTATGTATATGAACCTTACACCCTTTCAGGGTTCATCTCGTCCTTAAGGCAGGGTGTTATAATGTTTCGTGCGTTTTACAGAGATGTAGAAGGGTGTTCAAAGCTGTCGCAGCGCTGTTTTGTGAAGGGTTCTGCGGGGTCTGGGGGGGCTTGATAATCAGCGCTCTGTCAAGGGCTTATCATGCTTCTGTTCAGGAAATACAACGCCAAACTATAACAGGTGCAACCCTGGCAATCCACTTCTGGGAGCTCTGAACCCCTACACGACCCTCCGTCATCTAATGAATCTAATGGGCAGTTGTCAAAATTAAGGTCCCTTTTGGGGTACCCTAAATAACGGGTGCCGTATTATAATAGGGACCCAAAAAGGGACCATAATTTTGACAACGACCCACAAAATGGACCCTTGAAGCTCTCGCAGGAACCTAAGCTACTTCGATGAATCGGTACCACATAGGACCATGGTAAAGACGAACCCCTGCCCTGCCCTGCCCTGCAAGCCGAAGGCAATGAACCCTTGAGACCATGCTCACAACCTCTAAACCCCTTAACCCAAAGCGCCAGGCTATAAACCCTAAACCGCAGGCTATGAAGCCTAAACCCCTAAACCTAAACTCCAAGGGCCCAGGCAATGAAGCCTAAACCCCAAAACTCCAAGTCCCAGGCGATAAACCCGGAGATCTCTGCAAATACGGTCTTCTTGTTGGCAGCACGGAAGACCTCTTCCGACTCATGGTTTAGGGTTTAGGCGTTAGGGTTCAAGGTTTAGGGTTTAGGGTTAGCGGGACAGGCCATCAACTCACTCACTCACTCATACCGGAGCCTTCGTTATTGACTGGGATACAGTTGATGACATAAATCCTGCATTACCTTAAGGACCCTAAACTATGGGAATTATGGTATATCCCCAACTATGGGCAATGCAGGATTTATATCATCAACAGTAGATTGGGCACTGCCCCACCCTTTACCAGTCTATAATCGGGGTCATGTTTACGGCTCGATGTAACTATGCTTTGCAAAGTATCTGGGAGTTTCCGACAATAGAGGACCCTAGTAAAACCAAAAAACCTCATCCTTGTTAATTATAAGGACTCCCGAATAAGGTACCCCTAATTTTCGGAAACTCCCATCTACCTGCTACAGCTCAGAGAACAGGACTCTGGTGTACAATTCGGATAGTGTGCCGGAGCTAGGTGCGGATGCGTAGGCAGATCCTGAAAGGGTCTAGTTGTACAGAGTATACTGTTTATTAGTGTAGATGTACAAGGAACCACAGGGGAACCGTGTACAGATGTAGTAGGAACCACGAAGGAGCAATTTTGGTAATTGTTCAAGCTTGTATATATGATCCTCGAATGAAAATTCAAGTGCACCTCAAACTCTAACCCCCCTAGAATGTACGCGAAAGAACATATTTTGAGATATCCCTCCAAACGGAACCCTGCCAAACAACAGCAAACATGTCCAAGGGCCTTGAACGAAACCTACGTACATATAAGGAGCCCGACAGGTGCAATTATAAAGGCTTAGCTTCGGCACCATCGAGGGGCTTGGGGTTGTTCGGGGCTGTAGTGAGGCTTGAGGCTTTGGGCTGCACTTTGTGCCCCTCTGGTTGATGTTTGACTCGCAGAAACTTCAAATCCAATCTGTCCTGAACTGTACTTCAGCCTGAAGTTCGGCGTGTCGGGCTTAGGTGGTGTTTCAAGATTTGTGGAGGCTTGCTTGGGAAGGTGCGGCACTTACAGTTTGGAGTAAATGTGCAGAGATCCAAGCTTACAGTACGGGGCCATGTAGGTCTTGTTGGACCCTAAAAACCTTCTCTGGGGTCCAGGTTGTTGGGTGATGGGACACCACTCCACATGTCCAAATCAAACACATCATGCCTTCACTGAAGTAAAGGATCTCCGGTCAAGCCATCACATCCCGCGATTTGTGAGGGTCCTAGACTCTACCGGTACTACTTGAGCTACTAAGCTACTACTTGAGCACCTCAGAGTCCCATAATGAAAACAAAACTTATGGCCCTCTGGGTCTATATATATAGTCACGAGATCGGAAAATGATTCCACAGGCGAAACACCTGAGATTGGGATGGTCATCTCCACGATCTTGGCTTTGATTAACCCATGGTCGCGGCCACTCCCGCTAAGCATGTAATTACGGAGTACGAGCTTGCTGGTTTTCTCCTTGCTTACCTGCGGAGCCTTGGCACTTGATTCTTGGATGTACTTGGAGCTTCCGCAGACTCTGTTCAGCGAAGGCATCTCCGCCTGATTTCTTCCATTCAAGACCTGTAAAGGACTCACAACATGCGGTTTTGTCTGTTGGTATAAAATGTTTGTAGTGCTTCCGTATTACGCTTAATGGCTTTGGACATATACTAATATAATTAAACTATATATTTTTTAAATCTTTAAGTGTAATTTTCCAAAGATGTTTTTTTAAAGTATTAAATGTGTTGTTTATGTATAGAAATATGTCTAAAGACAAAAATTTATATATAGTATAGTATAATATGAGTAAAAACCCCGAGGATATGACAATGGATGAAATCAAAGAGCAGAAACAGCACTCTAAACGATACCGCCCAAAACAAAAACGAAACAAGCAGCAGCAACAACAAACACACAATTCACCGAGCAAAAACTTCTAGGACGCCGCTTTTCGGAGCCTATTTTGGAAAGCTTATAGGAGCCCTTGTGTAGCACCTCTTATAGTAACTCCTGTATATGTATCCCTCCCGACACCCTAAACCCTTTAAGAACCCCTTTAAAGGTAAAGGGAAAACTTAGAGGCAAGTCCACGCCGAGGGCCCGGCAGCGGCGGTGGCCTCCCGTGTTGGCGGAGGAACGTTGGGAATTTGTTTTTGGTGGGTTTAAAGGGAGTTTGGGGTTCTGGGCGTAGGATGGTTTAGGGCCTCAAGCCCCCAAGTCCCAAAACCTAACAAGGCCCTGAATTCAGAGCCCTAAGCCGAAACTTCCAAAAATAGAAGTACCTTATTTTGGGATCCTTATGATGAGGATTCTACTATTTAGGGTACTATATTAGGGTCCCCTGTTTTCGGAAACTCCTAAACCTCCAAACCACCCTGAACCCCTGCGCCTGACATCCCGAAACCTCTTAGTCGGGCCTTAATCGCTAGAATGTGGTTTTGAGGTGTATTATGCAATAAGTACAACAAGGAGACCGGGGGGATAATTTTGGCAATGACTTAGGCTTCTAAATTATAGTCTCAGGCTTGGAGAAGTGAGTCGGCATCTTTTTTGGGGGGCCGGGGGGCATGGGGTTTCTTGCTGAACGGTTTTGAGGAGGAAAATGCGGCTGCTGTGGTGGAGTTCATGAAACCGCAGTTCAGCGTGTTACGAAAGACCCCTACACTGCTTACACTTGCGGGATCGGGGTGTGAGGTGTTCGGGCTGAGGCTCTATGGATGAAAGCTTGAAAAGCCCAAAACGCCGAAACCTTACACCTACCTTAAGGACAAAATGAACCTTAAAAGGGTCTAAAGTTCATATACCATATATACGGATTCAAAGTATATGGGTATGGGGCCCCTACTTTAAAGGGTCATTTGGTCCTTCAGGTAGGCCCCCAAGTGAAACAATTCCATGTTGTTCACACCAGGCTTGTCGATGTCAAGCAGGTACGTGAGCCGTTAGATAGCAGGTCTGCCGCTTTCTGTGAACATCAAGCCTCTTATGCAACACACGAGCAACCTGCATTGCATGAAGAAGCCCTCCTGAGACCCTTATGAACCCTTCATCGAAGCCTGCAACCATCAACCTAAAACCCTAAACTCCCTAAGCCCTCACTGCCTAGCCGCCCGTAGAACCATAACAAAAAACACCAATATTCGTACTAATCCATTAGATTATATTCTAAGAAAACCCAAGCATCACTCCGAAGAGCAGTGAAGACTGGAGGTACCTCTGAAGACTGAAGGAAACACAACATATGCCGTAGCCGACCTGCGTGTTTCTGATGAAAACGTCTGCCGCCTGCCGTAGTATCAAACTGGGGCTTAGGAGTTTACCCCTAAACCCTTCTTCGAGATTCTGGAATCCTGGAAGCCTTTGGCAAAATTTCCCGCAATGGCTTTGAAAGGGTCCACCCCAAACCCCAAGCCCTGTACAACCGTTCTACAAGAAGTTTGGAGTTCGGGGTACAAAAACACCCAGATATCTGGCCCTAAACCCTACAAAACCCTACGCCTCCAGGTTTCACGATTACAAACTTCCCAAGGTTTCCGAGTGCCTACCCTTCGGGTGGGGTTTAGGTGCGTCTTGCAAGCTGGATTCCCGCAGTCCCTACTTTAGGTGTCAGGTTTTTGGGGGTTGAGGCAGTTTGGGGTCTCTGGCGAGGGTTTTTGGATTCTTCATGAGGTGAATGAAAGCTTGGCGTAATGTGGTGGCGAAATATGGGTACTGCTGGGGGACTAAGAACGGAACACAGCTTTTAAAGAACCAGGGGGCAACCCCAAACCCAAACGTGCTAACAGGTCCTGCCACTAGGCCTTGTAGGAATTCCGACTAATGGACGCCAAACTCCCCAAGCCCTCAATCAAACCCGAACCCCCATAACCCAAGATGAGCCAAACATTCAGGTCCTTGGCCTTTCTGGTGTGATAGACCGTGCCGATAGTAGGAACCCTAGGGAATAATCTTAGCATACTGAGTGACCTCTAAGGAATAATACTAACAATCATTCCGACCCCTGTAAAGACCCCAAATTACGCTCGGCCTTGCCATCCTGATTGCGGAAGGCGAACTCATCCAACTTCTTGAGGTTCCTTGGATTAAGTTTTGAATTCCAGGGCTCCTTTCGACGGTTCCTTTCGAACTTTTCTTTCAATAAAGTCTTTTGAGGCCATTTAGCGCTTGGAGGGTTTTGTTTGAAAGGAACCCTTTACAGGAACCCATTATGAAGACCCCTATAGTGTGCACACGGACACGCCGGGACAGCCAAGGAGCAAATTGCCCTAAACGGCCCTACCCCTGAACCCTTGAACCCCTAAACGCCGAACCCCCAAGCCCAACCTAAGCCCAACCTAAACCCATGGCGTAGTACCGCAAATCTTGCAAACCCTATCCAACGGTAAAAGGAGGGACCCTTAATAAGGACCCCTAGGTATATGCCCTTAACATAGCTATTATATAATTACACATTATATAGCCCATTATAGGGTAGGGGTCCCCATTAAGGGTCCCTCCTTCCCCCTTTGACCCTAAGTAACCCATGGCCTGGCCCTATCAACCCTAAACCCCCTAAGCCCCCGTACGATCCCATCCGCTCAAGGGGCAACGACTGTCTATTTTGGAACACCCGAGCCCTAAACCCCTGAACCCCGAAACCCTAAAACCCCAAACCCGAAAACTCCAAAACCAAAAGCCCCAAACTCCACAACCCCCAAACCGCAAACCCGAAAACCCCAAGACTCCTAAAGCCCGAAACCCCACAACCCCTGAATAACACCGAAAACTCTTAAAACTCAAAACCCTAAACCGTAAAACCCCTAAAAACACTAGACACCCCTAAAACGCCCCCCCCCCCACGCCGGAGCGACAGCCAAGGAGCAAGTTCACCTGGCTCGCAGCCTGGTTGCTAGGTTTACCTACTTGGAGGGTCATGGGACTTAGTAAGTATGGTTATAAGTACCTTAATTGGGGTTAACAATAATTATAAGCATAGTTGCCTTGATTATAACCCTACCTTAACCCGGAATAGCCTACCTTTTTTAAGGACTTAAATAAGGAATTCATAGAACCCTTAAAAGGTAGGTTATTCAGGCTTAAGCTAGAGCTTGTAAGGCTTTGAGGGTTTAAGGATTTAGGGTTTAGGGTTTAGGGTTTTAGGTTTTTACGTTCTTAGGTTTAGGATTAGGGCTTAGGGATCTAGGGGTGTGGGGCTTCAAAGTTTAGGGGATTAAGGGTTTGATTTTACGGTTTGTTAGGGCTTAGGAGTTGAGAGGTTCAGGGGTTGAGGCAGGTTCAGGGTCTAGGCTTTGGCGTTTAGTGCTTGAGGGGTTGAGTGTTTAGGGGTTGGGGTTTGGCATTTGGGCTTGCCCTAAACCCTAAACCCCTAAAGCCCTAAACCCTGAACCCCTCAAGCCCTAAACCCTAAACCCCTAAAGCCCTAAACCCTAAACCGTTGGGGCATTCGGCAACATGCTTCTTCCGTCAACCCCCTGCAGCTCGGAGCTTAAGTTGTTTCACCCAAGAGGCTTGCCCTAAGCGTCCGTGCACCCAAATAGTATGTACTTTGGCCCCAATGTACCTATATAGGGAGTACTTTAAGGCCAAAGTATATACTATTTTGGGTACATGGACCCTTAGGGTTCCATAAGGCGTAGGATACCTTTTCGGGGGATTCTACTTTCGGATCCCTGAAAATGCTTGGGGACCTGATGACCTCATCGTTTGCAGGACCCCGTCTTACAAGTTCGCCATTGGGGCCATCATTATCAGCATCGCCTAACCCTACAAAATAGTCGGTGATGACCCATTAGTCAGAGGGTATATATCTAGACCCCCAAAAGTAGGTAATGTAATGGCCCAATACCCATAAAAGGCTGTTATTCTACATACTTTTGGGGTCCAGGTAATGCTCAAGACAGTAGGTTCTGGATCTCCAGGAGGACTTACGATAAGACCCTACTTAAACATGGGTTGGAAGAGGTATGGGCAAACTGTACTGAACCCCAAATTCGTGCCTGCTTACGGCAACACCCTGACAGCCCTAAACCCTCCAAAGTTTACGGCCTAAGCGCTGAACCCTGAAAAGACCCAAAAGCACGCTCTGCCTGTCTTGCTGTACTCATGTCGGAGATGTCGTCCAGCTTCCTCAGCCTCGGTAAGCCATGACCAGGGCCGTTAATCATTGCCTTAATGGTTCAACACACAACGGAAAGGCATGTACCGTACCATTATTCGGCCAAACATATCCCTTCAACAACCACGGAACCTCCCAAAACGTGCCAAAACGATATTCTAACATGGTATGGCTCAAGATAGGCCTTTTTGTAGGGTATCTGTTTTTTTCGATCCTTCCGGAGGAGCTTTTCTTGTCTCGAGATGCGTGTTCAGGGGCTCTTGTTGTCAACAGGCCTATAAGTTAGGGATGTATGATCTCGTAGTGGAGTGAGGCTATAAAGCAGCAGTCTTACTAACTAGCCTCAAAGGCTACAATGGGCACTATTAACATTCACTGAGTCAATAAAAAGCATGCTCCAGTTCTCCATCGACCGAAACCATAAACCCAATGCCTGAACTCCCAGCACTAAACACTAGGATGCCCAGTAACCTATCAATAAAAAGGGCTCCCTTTCTGGTGTTGGGAAACAGAAAGGAACCTACAAAAAGGGAATAAGGGTACTACTGGGCATCGCATCATGCAGCGAGTGACAAAAATCCTCCAGAACTAAGGGTCTACTCAGGGGACACTACGTTAATATCTAGGGGTCTAAGCCGCTTAGGCCCACAAAATCCAGGGCTAACCTCTGTAACCCCAAACCCTACAAAATAGTAGGTTATGAGACTATTGGGTCTTAATCCCCAAAGAGTAGGTCCTCAGCCCTGAATTACAGCGTACAGCCCCTACAACAGTAGGGTTCTGGTTTCCCCAAGCCGAGAAGCTGAGGAAGCTGTTGGAGTGTGAGCACCTGGTACCTGGCTGACGACCCCAGGAACTAACAGCCTATAGTCGAAGCCAGAAAGTTGGAACAAAAGTGGCCTCCTCCCCTTAAAGTAAAGGGAACCCCAGCATTAATCATCCTAAATCCATGTTCCAACTTTCTGGGGCTCACTATACTTGTCGAGTATCCTGAGGAACTAGGTCGACCCTTGGGAGTATTTGGGGTGGTTCCTTATGATATTTCGAACATAATGGGCACCAAAACCTTATTCTGATTATTACCTATAGTCTCCATTATAGTCCCTTTTTTTGGTTAACCAGTTTTACGGTTAGGGCCCTTTTATACAATGGAGACTATAGGTATAGGGTCCTGAAGTTCCAGAATGACACGCGCGTCCACTCGGAGGCCTTTCTTGCATGGTTCCTACCGAAACCACCACTTCAGACCACCCACAACACACTCTCATGTAGGCATATTGGCACCTTACCAAAGGGAGTAGGGCTTTTGGGGTATGCACTGGTAGTGTCATACTCAGGTATGCCCCCATGCTGGAGTGGAGGGTCCGATTGATAGACAACCCGGCTAATGCTTGCTGCTTGCTGACGGAAGGTCTACAATGTGTGTCTTTGAGAATCAAAAGCATATTGTAGTAGAACCAATATCGTCTGGAATTTCAACGCCGCTGGAAAACCCGTCACGTGGAGCCACCACAGTCGAGCTGTGGCAACTTCTGGACCAGCATATTAGTGCATGAAAGTAAATCACAACTTTCGGAAATCATCCCTCGCGCTAGATCTTAAATCCTGGACCCTCAGCCCCATTCAGGGCACGTCGGAAACGTGGCTGCAAAGGGGTTGTCCTGACAAAGGAGTGACCAGGGGCAGGATATAGAGCAGAGAGCAGGGTGTCTGGCAAATCCTGCATACCATCCCACAGGTCCATGTACCCACGTAGTACCTTAGTATGGCCCTGAAACTAGAACTTCTCGTGAGACCTGAGTAAATGCAAAGCATGAAGTTTCCCAGGCTACCAGCTTGACACGGCTAGTTACCGGTAAGTCAACCCTTGTGACCTTTTTCCACGGGGGACTTGGGCCAAGTGCAATCGCGTACAGACATAGCTAAGGACCATAGGAATAGCAATGGAGGCAGGGTAAAATCTACACCCCCCTCGCCGTGCTGCTCGAGCTAAGGCGGATAGTACATGGCTCCAGGTTGCCCTGGGCTTCAACGATTTTGAAGACTTGCCAAAGCGAGCATTTATAAAGCACAACGGGGAAGCCCTGCAGGTCCGAAGCAAATCAAAATGAGGACTCAGCGCCTATGGGTGCGGTTCCATGCATCCCACTCGGCCTGAGTGTAACCTCCACGACGCTGGCGATAGTACTCGTCCCACTGGGCCTGAGTATAGCCTCTGTACATTGGCTCAGGTGCTGTCGTGCGACCGCGTCCCTTTTGGGATGGGCGATTCTGGACTGCAGCCTGGCGATTGCGCTCTGCCAAACGTTCCGTTTGGTCTGTCTGGTTCTGAGCACTACGGAGGCTATCGGTAAGGATTTGCCCGATCTCAGTTGTGATGCCTTCAGTTGTGGTAGCCGACACATAGACCTCGCCGTCGAAAGTCAGGATCCTTTTCGCAGCATCATTCACTGCTGCCACCTCAGCATAGAGTCGCGGAGGGAGGAATGCACCGAGGTAGGTCAAGCCGATGGGGACATCCGCGGTATCATCGATAAACCGCAAGTTCCTCAACGGCTCCACTTCGCAGTGGGCATAATAGACCAACTTCGCAGGCGGGACATTGCCACCACCATAATGGGAGCCGGCACGCAAGTAGCGCTGCTCCTCGCTGCGTCCTGGATCGGGAAGCACAGCGTTCGACAGGTGATCGAATTTCTGCATGTCCTCGAAGTTGCGGCCCTCTTGCATCATCCTCACGTTGAACTGCGCGTCCTTCTCGAAGCGGTCGGACACGGTGTCGAAGTTCAACTTGGCGGCCCTGATCTTTCGGTCTTTGGCGTCACGAATGGCGGCAGCCTCTGCGCTCATCTGACCACGCTTCTTTGGTCCCTCGCCCAGGCCTCTGAGGTCACTCGCAAGGAGATCGTCGATGGGCTTCTGAGCTCCGGTTGCAGCGGTGGCAAGAATGCGCTGGCGAAGTCTCGAATTCTCAAAGACTCGCTTCGTGATCTTTTTAGAGTCGTCCGTCTGGGGAGCCTTGCAACGGAGGCAGAACAGCATGCCATTGGCAACGACTGCTGCGCACTCACGGCATGGGTGTGAGCCAAGTGGGTACGGCTCATCCTCACCCGCATCCGTTGTATCGCCTTCGTCGACTTCAACCTCGACCTCAACCTTGGTTTCGTCAAGGTCGAATGCACCAGCATCATCAGCAGGCTCACCCTCGCGGGTGGCTTCATCCAAGTCCATGCTTTCGTCCTTTTCGGCGATTGCGGCGGGCCTGGGAGCCACCTTCGGCATCTTCTTTGAAGCAATCGCTTTGGGAGCGATAGCCGCCTGCTTTGGAGGCGGTGCCGATGATGAGCTTGCTGTTGCGGCCTCCTCGTAGTCGCGCTTGGCGCGGAAAATGCGCTCTGGCTCACCCTCGCGGGCGGCTTCTTTGTGCTCGGCGACATAGAGCGGGAGGTTCTTCTTGCTGGTGTCGACGGCGGATAGCACACAATCGGGCGGCACATTGTCACGTGTGAGGACGCCGTCGGTCTCCGTGACGAAGAAGACACATCCAGCGGCGATTGCTCGCTGCGTATCTATCGTCAGCTCGATCGGCTGGTTGGAGCGCATTCCACTCTTGTAGTGAGTGTCGTCCAACTTGTACGGGGACAGGTAGTTGTGGGACCTGTCTGACCTTGCAGAACCGGCGATCATGCCATCGCGGAGGATCCCCTTCATCCCCTTTTCATTCGTGCGGTGGAAGAGTTTCGGGGGGGTATCCTCACGGGAGAGTACGGTGACCCCCCTGACGCTGCCCTGCAGGTCGGCCTCGTACTCGGACAATCCGCTGTAGAACCTGGTCGCGAGGAAGAAGTCCGCGTCCGGGCCATCCTCACCCGCACAGGGAATAGCGGCTGGCCCAGGGTGTCCTTCATGGGGACATCAATGCCCAAAAGCCTGATCCGTCCCTTGTTATCGGCTTTCGCTGCGCGTAGCAGCTGCCTCACACCCCAGCGTGCGTTCCGTGCCGTGTTGAAGACCTGGAGCAGAGTGTCAACGTCTGCCCAGCACCCACGGTCAAAGATCAATGCAGGGAAGTCGTCCATTTCATGGCCACGTAGCAGCTTGGTGAGGAACTTCAGGTCACCGTGTTTGAACGTCACGTGCCTGTCTACCACAATGTCCTCCGGATTGAAGGGCTTCATCAAGTGCTTCTTACCGTTGTAGAAGTACTCATTCGGAAGCTCTGGCACAGTGGCAGCCCCTTGCGGGGCGCTTTCATCGATGAACATGAGCCTTCGCATGGCGTCCTCATCGCGGTCAGACTTCTTAGTCTTCTTGGGAGGCGCTGGCTCAATGACACGTCCAATCGATGATGGGATGGGGTGGACTTGGTCGCCCTCATCCACCAGCTCCACCGTGCCCGGGGTATTGTAGGATACCTTACCGTCTGCGTCCTGAGTGACAATGTCATTGACGCACTCCGCAACAGCACTGACATCAGTGGTTGCACCGATCCTTGGCACATCCTTGCGGATGGCTTTATCCATGGGTGGCCCCTCGGAGATCTTGGTGACGTCGGTTGCGTCAGCGGCATCTGGGGCTTCCCACATCTTGTCCTCCTGGGTGACCGGCATTGGCTTTGCCTGTTTCGGGTTCATGAGCTGGTCCTTCTCCGCACGCCACTGCTTGAAGACATCCTCGAGCACCGGATTGTTGGCACCGGAGCCAGTCTCAAAGTGCTCATAGCGAACAAGCAAAGCCCTGACACAGGGTGTCATCTTCTGGGCAAGCCATTCGCTCCTGCTTGCATTGATAGTGGCATGCAAGTAGGTCTGGAATAACTCGCGGTTGCGAGGGTCTTCACTGGCGTGAAAGCTGTCATACATTTCCAGCTTTTCGACCAAGGAGCTCGCGGTTTGCACTTGCAGACCGCGCTGTCTGAACTCTTCGAACATTGCGGCATTGAAGTCGTTGTAGGCTGAGTGGAGTTGGAACAAGTCCGCCTCCACCTGCCCAATCACCTTCACAAAACCAATGTCCGGCTCGCCCGCGAGGGCGGCTAAAACATCCGCTGCCCTTCTCACTTTCCGGGCGACGGTCTCCGTTACCGTTGTGACATTGGGATCTCTATAGGCGAGTCCCGGTCCTAGCCGCGTGGGGATGCAGCCCCACTGGCCGGAGATCTCGTTCCCGCACCACCAGCAGATCACGTCGATGGTGTGGTCCGGATAGTTGGTCCGAAGCTCTTTCACATGCTCCTCGACCTGCCAGACAATCCACGCCAAGGTTTTGCCCCAACACATGGTGTAGCGAGTCTGCGCCCATCCCAGCGTCATGCTTGCGATGTTCACTTCCGCATCCAAGTCGGCCTTGACGAACACTCCCCGTCTGTTCTTCTTGCAAAGTGCGGTGGAGCTGTCTGACACGACTATGATGGCTCGCTTGGCCTTGGGGCTCAACCTTGCGGTTGGCTTCAACTTGGCGAGTCCCTCGTCACTGAGGTCAGCCATCTGGCGCAGAGCCACACAGGTTGCGTCGGCATGGGTCAAGGATACCCCAGCCGCGCATTGTGTGGATACGCAGCTGTACGCCGACTCCAAGAGCTGGCTCTCATGATCGGCGCCTAGCGAAATGATATCGTTGTTGAGGGCGGCGGATTGGAGAATGGTTTTCATGGCCTTGGTAACTCCAGCCCTGTCTGCTTCGGAGGTGTTGACCCTGCAGAACTCGTCGCTCACAACGATGGCTGCCATCCTGGGGATCGTAGAAGTCGCTTCGGGCAAGTCGGGAAGATCAGAACCAGCTGAAATTGCAATGGCAGGCGTGCACATAAAGGAAGCCAAGATTTCATGGTCAAGGCTTGCAGTTTGTTGTGTGTTTGTGCACTCGAGCGATGTGTGTGCAAACGAATCATTTTCGAAACGAGAACACGGTTTGTTAGGCCTACCCCCCTCATCGAGAGGGGAACCAACACACCTCAAACAAACCATTGCCTTCTGAGCTGGGAGCTTCAACTGAGCCGTAGGCAAGAGGAACTGTGATTGATGTAGGAATTGCTTTTGCTTTTTGTTGAACTTCTGGTACCCCCCTGAAGAGTAGGCGATGAAGGAATGTCGTTCGCCAGTGTAGGGTTGTACACCATGTTTTGTTGAAGGATGCAACAGAGTAGGCTTGCGGTATGTATTGCAAGTGTAGCCTTTGTGGTCTTTGCCATGATCATCTGTGTATATTCCCGGTGGTCCCAACTGGCTCGCGCCCTCAATCCACAGTGTCCCCCCTGTATAGTTACCGAAGGAGAACGTCAGGTTGTACGATTCTTTCTGATTGTACTTATCCGTGTGGATGCGGGCCTTGCCATTGAAGTTGAACACGAACGAAGTCCATGTAAACCCTTTCGGAGATGCTCGCTTTACAAACTCATTCACATACCTGCAAATCCATGGGTAATGTTTTGTGCGGTTGGTGATACCAAAGCACCCACCATGGACCCAAGCGCCGAATACCAAGTATTTGGATATCTTCTCAGAAGCCATAAACGATCGCGGTTTTGCCAATGATGCCTTGAGATTGGTACGAATAAGCCCAGCTAGCTTCTCGAAGGTCTTGAAGCTGTAATCGTTAGCCTCGAACGATTGTTTAGCAAAGTCCTCGACAACCTTTGATGTATCCGGAGCTGCTGCTACCG